GGGTTGGAAAAGGAGCTATGCATTGAAGGCAATAGCTTGGATGCACGAGCGCCATTGAGGGCGCGACTGGGCCATATCTGACAATGTCTCTAGCCATTGATGTGGCCCATCTCGGGGTCCCCCATCCAGGAAGACGGCAATGACCAGCGCAGCTGAGTTTTCTGGTAATAGCTTTTATACTTCGCTGCCAAGTCATTGTTTGACCGCCTCTGGCTCTCTTCCACCCTTCACGTGGTTGTGCGAAAAGTGCCCCTCGAGGAAGTCGGTCGACTGGCATACGCAACACGTGGCCAAGCCAGCGCAACCTATGCAGTGTGATCAGTTCATTTATCGAGGGTGAGTTATTTCTCCCGAATACCATTCGACGTACTTCACAGTTCCATCACCGTCGGTGAGATTTCTTCAGTATTACGTCAGCGTGGAATCATCGTTGGCGTACAGCTGAACAACGGCGCCACGCATACCACACCTAATCAAAGACCAATAAACGCCCCTGAGCTTCCAGTATTTGGACAGGATGCATTCTCTGGGGTAGTCACACTTTTCCTGGAAAACGACCACAGAATGTGGCCAAGCTTCGGGTTAAACAGACAGGGTAGCGTTTTCGAAGTGTTTGAACAACACTCGGTGATTAATCGGTCACGCAAAAGGCGCATATTAGCGAACACGTGGCCACGTAAGACAGGTCGTCCACTGTCCTGATAAGCTAGTTGACTAAAGATCCGTAGATATGACTCTGGTTAGTGGGATCGATCGTTTCGAATTGTAGTCTGCTGGAAAACTCAAAATTAGCTACTCTTTACACACCTGTGTCTTGTGTGGGCCTTAATCTGTTTGGCAAGTTATATGGGGATGTATTGCTGGGTGTTTGTCATCCGCTTGTTTGCTGAGTGATCTGACGCTGCTGTTCTCGCATTGGATTCTAATTGTTGGTCAGACTTGAAGTTTTCTTTCAGCGCTGCAAAATGTATGCCTGAAAGCTTCTGCCTTGTAATGTCCCGTCAGTACAGTCTGTGGTCGAGCAGTACACCGAACTGTTCACAGGTGGTGAAGATCCGTTTGGCTTCTACCCGTGGTTCAGCACGAAATNGCTCTTCCGAACGCTTTAAACCGTCAGATACCGTTCCGTTTACAGGGGGAGGTCCATAGACAAGTTCAAAGGATCCCTGAGAATGTCGTGGATGCCAACAGTTCGTACAACTACCCGGTATTGCTTGTGAATAAGGCGAACGAGAAATACCGATTTTGTTCGAATTCCCGAAGTTTGAATGAACTGACTCTAAATTTGATTGTAGCCGTCCCTTCGGCTGCGGAGATTTTCGATTCACTTTAGCAATCCCAATATCTCATGGTGTTGGATTTTCGTTCTGGATATTGACAACTAGCCTTCAAGATACAGGACCGTGAGAAAACGGCGTTCACGTTTCGGGACACTCGATATTAGTTTAACCAGATGCCGTTTGGTTTGTCAGGGGCACTTTTAGGCACGATGCTTCTTTTAACTAAGGAACTACAGAATGTTGCTGTGTACGGAGACGATATCGTCGTGTGTAGCGATTCCGAACTGGAACACCCCTTGTTGAATTGTATCCAGGAAGCTGACCTGTGGATAAATGAATCCAAGACAGCTTGATCAAAATTCTGTGGCAATGATCGAGCATAAAGTGGGTCAAGGAGATGTCAGGCCTCTGCCAGAAAAGTGATGACGATCCGGGACTGTGTAATCCCCAATTCAAAGTGGTTTTCACGGCAGTTTCTTGGACCAACAACATACTATAGACGGCTTGTCAGAGACTTCATAGCGATTACTGCTAAATTTTACGACTTGCTCCGTCAAAATAGAAAGTTGGAATGGATGAGAGAAGCGCATGAGGCCTTCAAACGTACCAAAGCGCAGATAGTAGATCAGCAATTGTCAGGGTAGTCAGATTATGTAAGGTAAGTCCAGAATACCCGAAACCTGCTGAGACACTCAAACTCCACCAAAATCGCAGAATGAGATCCGTCAAGCATCCGGGCTAGGAAATGCGACTACCCAATAAACGTTCAAGCAGTCAGTCTGTTTAGTAACGACCAACGATGTTGAATGTTTAGGCGTGTCATAGAACAATGGCCAACAATGATGAGTATTCACCCAACGCCGATCGGGCATCGTGGATTCGAGGTCAGAAGTGCTCCTTTAATACCGCAATGTTTCTTGGAATTTTTGTACTCACTTGCTCACAATACGGCTGTTGTGTTCCTTGCTGGAGAGTCTTTTAACGATGCTAAGGCGCTGGACCGGGGTCAGCAGTTTGTTACAACAGCAACGCACCCTCAAGCTGTCCAAGGTGGGAGAAGTTTAGTGTTGCAACAGACACTGGTGTCCAGGGCATGGATGCAGTCATCCTAAAGCAGAGGAATGGGGTAATCGAACATACCAGTAGAGTCCTGACCAACGCTAAGCAGAAGTATTCAATCATAGAGGAGGAATGTTTAGCGATTGTCTGGGCCCCAGATAACTGGAGACCATACTTACTGGTACAAAGACACCACGTTGAGACTGATCGGAAACCCCTTGAGTGGATCGGGACTACCAGAGTTCTCCGCGGAATGCTCACGCGCTGGGCCCTCTGACTTCACGATCCCACACGTACCGAGAAGCATCTGGAACCACCTGACCAATTGGCTTTGAAGACAAGAGGCCGGAGGCGATCAGTGACAACAACCGTTCTTCCGCATTTTCCGCTTTTGGTCCTTTTCTTTCTACAAGTCCTATCAATCGTTAAAAAAGCAATTAGAATACAGTCTTATTGACAACAAAGGGTAAACATTAGGGACCAGAATACAGGCATTATTCTCCTGCTTCATAGGAAATCGGTACATTATCACGGAAGAATTAATATCAACCTGATTCATCATACACACACTTTAGAGAGTAACAGGTGATGAAGACGTATTGCGCGGAAATTAATCTTGAGAATGCAAATGTTCCATTGATGCCACACACTTTTCTCGATGAAAAATGTTACTCCACGTGGCGTTGTTTGTCGGCGTTTGTCGAATATACACCTTAGGGTCTTACTGAAGAAGTCCCCGGTTTTATTCATGAAGGAAACTACTCATAAGGTTGCTGAAAATCCATCGACAGCCCACAACCGGTTTTGCCCTCGTTGGGGCTCATCAGGTAGGTACAGTCCCCGAGTTTCCGTCAACCCTATATTCTCAGGTTCATTCGAAAAGCCCTAAACGAGTAGACCAGCGAGCCGGCATTGTAAGCAACATACATTGAGAATTGAATGTTGATCTCGTGTTAACCTTTGTTTCAACCCTATCAGACTGGTAAATGGGCAATGTGCTCGCCGCGTCAAACTGGACCGTATGCCCGTACCGTGTCCTCCACCAGGAGCGGAAAAACCGACACCCAGTTGTGATCCGCAGACATGTCTTGAGCCGGTTTTGGAACAACGTTGGTTCCGTGTTGGATGCCGCTGTGTTGAGCAAAAACCTCAACAGTTCCGTACGTGTTGCTGCTCCAATCGCATCGTCCGAGCCAAGAGAATATGCAATCCAGATGGGTCCAGTCTGCTTGTGAGTTACGATTCTAATCTTTTGAAAAGTTCAGTTCATCCAAACAAGACGAAAACACTGCACTTTTGATTCATTTATATGATCGAATTAAGATTTAAAAGATATATGGGGAAATCACAATATAATATGAGCAAAATGATGTTTCGGTAGAATTTAGTGCGCTCCTGGAGGCCAAGCGTCGTTTGTGAGGCAAGTAGAGCGCATGGGTTAAACTATGGCCATCGTAGACATCATCCATGTCGTGTTTGTTGAAATGGGAGATTCTTGGTGAAGTGACAGGGGCACTGCCTCCAGACCGAACGGTCCGAATCCGGGTTTGTGAAGTTAACAGTGACGTTCCTCTGCCCACAGTAGCATAAGCTGCCCGATGTTAATACTGGCTTAATTGGAAAATGAGTGACTATCTGCAGTACTGTTCAAGTACGGTATAAAATTGGTAAAACCTCTGGGATGTGCATACCTGGATGGTTTTCAAAAGAACGACACCGGTGGTGGACTCTCCTGGGGTTGTAGTCAATGTAGTGAGTAATGTCAGACCAAGAAGTTCATGCGTTTGTTTTGTAATAAATAGCGTGAATGCAATCACGTTAGCCGATTGAATATTGATTAGGTGGTCTAATTACGGTTCACTTTAAAGCACTGAGGTTTCCAACAGTTTCTATAATGTTGACATTGATATACAAGACTACGTCTCTAATCGGCTGGCTGACTGACTGAACCAGACCTTAGTCATCCCTCACGAACCCATGCTATACCGTGGCCTACGCTGGCCAGGTTTAAGGCTTCACCGTTTACCCCATTCAACCAAGAAGTTCACTGAGGACTAGTGATATCACATCTATATGAATTTCATGTTTTAAGACTACCAGTAACATATCCACCTATCTAAAACAGCTCTAGTTACCGTACGAATTCCTAACTGTGTACATCGTCACCGTAGGAAGGCGTTAAACGGTTTCATGTAACTTTCTAGTCCTGGAGTGAGCCAGTCACCTGAAGTACTTTAGTCCCTAACACGGACTGCAATAAAACCTCTCTGGATTGACGATGGATCCTAATGCAAATCTTAATCTCCGAATTGATTTCGGGACAACAATAGTGCAAATACTGACGTGAAGGGTGGGGTGTTGTTACCAGAACTGTGAGAACAAATTCTCCTCCTTGTATAATAATCTTATAGAGGAGAATTACTATCAGTCATTTCCCATCCTGTTCAACTTTGCCACAGATGACTCAATCCTGGCTTTTCCACAATGGCCACTGCGTTCCACAAGTCATAACTAAAAGACTCGATATCCCTGTCTGTCACCCGCAACGCGTGACTGCGCTTGGTACGTGCGATACCGTTACGAGAAGACAAGTTGCGCTGGTGGAGCGGTTTGCCGTGAAACAATGTCGTTGCCAGGCCATATTCCGGGAAAAGATTGAGCGCATATGTGGTACGTTACACGAATCCGCATATCAATCAACTAACTGTTCACAGTGATAGTCAAGGCATACTTATCCAGAAGACATTTGGTGGACCCCTGAATCGAATAAGCAGGGATTTTCTCTCTTTTGTGTGCAAAGCTCGCAGAAGTCGATTCCCGAATAGGAGATGCGGTTCGAATACTCCCCATTAGGTGGTAAAATAAGGTCATGATCACCAGGTCCTTCTAATCGGATGGTTTGAACATTCATACATCGTAAATACCGATGTACTTGATGTGGAAAACCATATTAGTTTTTCATTCAGGTGTATTCGACTATGCCTTGCTTTTTCCATGTTAAACCTTTCCTTGAATTGGTAATTGCCGGTGAATTGACGTCTGGGTTGGAGTGACCAATGAGCTGGAACATCACACACATCGCTCTCTTTTTAACAGCCCTGCCAGTTTTCAGAGAAAACAGTTATTAACCAAGGCTACTGTCAAAATTAATTTGGACTGGCTTCAACATATTAGCAAATTTGGCCCACTGAATTTTCTCGCAGTTAAACATGGTTGAAAAAACACATTTAAGTGAATTGTACTCTTTATTAACAAATAGACTTTTCTTGCACGAATCATTTAGTATTTAACTTCGCCTTGTTCCATCATCGGACCCAACAGTTTCAAGCCATCTGATACTGTTGTGTTAAAATTTCGGACTTTACACAGGCCCATATGTGATATGTTTGTGGAACCGTTGAGCGTTTGACTGTTCCCTGTTTCGATGAAAATCGCTTCAGCCGACGAATTTGGTTGCCTAATATGACCGACGGATTTTGGTATCCTGTAAATCAAACAGCTTAACAACGATTCTTGGGCCATTTTGCTCCGGTGCGGTGCCGGGGAATCCGAGGGATTCTGCAAGGCAGCGATGCTAAATTATTTGATGTGGCCAGGCCTTAAGTTCACCTCAACCACGATAACTGCTGATTGCAACCATGCGCGTGTAACGTTAGACCAACCGATTATGGGTCAGAGCAGCAAAGTTTGTTCTGTGGCGACAATGCTACACCCCTGACTGTCTGACGCATGCGAGGCCTGGAGCCTAAGGACGGCGGTTGATGGAAAATGATGGTATTACAGAGGTTGGGATGAAAAACGTTTCGTGGAAACTTGGAGACGCTGGTAGGCAAGGACTCCGTTAAAGATAAGACTTTGTAACTGAAGTATAGTGAAGAACCATCGGCCTTTGTGGTTCCAATGTACTGAGAGTAATCTGCGGGACAGCTCTTCCTATGTTGCGGACTCTCAGAATGATTAAACTAGATTGTTGACTCCGTCAGCTGGCTGCTATTTCTGGGTGATTCATTCACCTGTGGCTCATTAGTATGTTTTTGTTAGTTTTGTCCCCTGCACGCTGGACGTCTCATTTCAAGGACTTTGGAGTATAGATGGTCAAGTCCGATCCATCAAAACTCATAAATACCGCGAAGTTCTATTGGTCAGCCGGAGATATCGTGCACTAGGGGGTAGAATATGAGTGCTCGCCACACTCTTATTCTAAGCGGATGGAACGAGGATCGAACAGTGAACTGTTCAGGAAATCATTGGGAAAATAACCACATTAACTCTTTACTCTTTACTCTGGATGCCCACCATAGTCAATTTGTGGTAGTTAGCGGCTGTCTGTCTGATCGTTTTGAAATAGACATACTCAGATGCTTCTCAGAAACAGATAGCGGCTACAGAAAGCTCAAGTATATTAATCAATAACGTAATGATTTAACTGGACACCTGTCTACATGCCCAGTAATATCTACTGTGCTGTCATACTCACTCTGCCTACTGCATTCTAACCAACGCGTCTGTTGAACAGCCATAAGCCTGTGCACTTCAATCACAAGAGGTAGAGTGTTTATCGAACTCTTTAACTCAGGCAAATGCGCCTGTTTTTTTTCGAAATTGTTTTGCGTATAGAGAGGGTCTTGCCAAGTTGTGCATTAAGGTGTTCTTGCTGTTCTGTACGTACACTGTGTCTTGGAGAAGTTGAGCCGGGTGTAATAGAAGGCTGGGCCTTGCGAGTTATCGCGTATAGTAGTTAAGAAAATAAGAGACCTCTCTGAGTCCAACCGCCGTGTTAAGGTATTGCTTATGCTACCAACGAAAATGTCCCATATCTTCAAGTTTTCATGGTACGGTTGATCACAACCAGCTCCTGATTGGTGATTCGTCACGCAGCTGACCATCACATAATTGGCGAGCTTATAAAACTCGGAGTTTAGTATCTTGTGGTAGGTGTTTTCTAGACCAGATAGAACCAAAAAGACTGACTGATAATTGTCCAAAGCTTTGCGCCAATGTGCAGGCCGAATCCGTCCACTTTTCGTGGAATGAAGTCAGCTTGTGTTGATTAATGCACTACGGCCTGTTCCACCCCGCCCCCGTTAAACCCTCATTTAAAGCATTTTTGACCTCAGCCCAACGAGTGCACATACAGTTGAGCGGCTTATTGAATGAAACTGCATTTAGCCAAGGCTAAGGATACTTTTTCATCTTCATTACCTACCTTCATCATTTTATGCGTACGACAATTCACACAGTAACGCACACCAGTGACGTGACCTACAGTTTTGGTCGTGCTCTTCTGAAGCAAGTGTTTCAGTTACACTCATAACGATTATATAATCTTGTTAACCTGTTTTACAGCCTGTCCAGCTCCGGTGGAACATGCAGAACCCTGCCAGCCTGCAACCTGCCTTCAGCGTATTGTCCGAATACCGTGGGCTTTAGACGAGCAGAAAGGGCAGTGTGTTCGTTTGCCGCTTCAAGTTCAAATGCGTCCATGTTGTTGTTTGCGTGAGAAAGAACCTCCAGCGGAAAGCACACGTTGCAATCCGATAACCGGCGAAGTGGAGCTTACTCGAAGGAGCTTCATCTTCAACGTGGTGAAACGCGTTTGTGAAGTCCAGGAGGACAAACGGTACAATAAGCTAGGTAAACACTGCAATATCTCGAATATTGTGACAACCGAATCATGAGTCGGCCTGTGTGCAGCACGTTCAGTTGTAGAATACCACGAACGAGAGATTCAGTTGAGTCTCTCGTGAAAACTAAATTGATTTGCAAATGAGTGTATTTCTCGAAAACAGTCCAATACGGGTTCAAGTAGAACATAATGTTGACGGTAACTCGGGGACTGTGCCTACCTGATGAGCCCCAAGAATGGCGGAACCGGTCATGGGCTGTCGAATAGTTTTCAGCAACCTTATGAATAGTTTCCTTTATGAAAAAAGGTGCATGGACCCCGTTAAATCTGTTTTTCCGCGTTGCGATTGGGTACTATGTTTCGGGATCAGCGTCTCAAAAAACCCAGCCACCATTGAAAGGTACATCACGGTGTGCAACGGCGCATGTTCAGTTATCTCATCCACCAGCTTTACCAAGTGAGGCGAAGTAACGCTGTTCAGAAGTGCGACCCACCAAGTCTAGAATAGGTTGTAACCCACTGGGGACACAATCACCAAGGTACTGCAAGGCTACTCAGGATTTGGCTTGGGTATCCAAGATGCCACTTGCATCACACACCTTCTCTCTCTCCAGCAGGCATATCATCATGTCTGCAATTTTTCAAGCTCTCTTTGAAAAAGAATTCCAGGATCACATATATTTTTTGTTATCAGCTTTGATAGCGCGGCGGTTATTCAATGAAAGCACACCGCCGGGATCGGACGAAAACGCACTCACGTTTGGAGTGTGCACCGCTCAATTTACGTTCTTAAGACGAACCACTGCACATCAAAACGATCTCACAACCATGGTGTATAATTCCTATTTATCTGAATATTTCAGACTGCCCGTCGCACGGGCGAATACTCCGTGGTCACTGTAACCAACTCAACGGAATTGCCATTGATAAGGTTGAAATCTGGGAAGCACGACTTTCCGAATGTCAATGCCGGCGGATGATAAAAACTATCAAAAGGATATGCTGTAAGTTGGTTCTTTGTGGTGTATGCATGAATTTAGTTCCACAAAGAGTGATAGGGTCAGCGCTTCGCTTCATCACAAGCGAATTTGATGCACTCCGATCATCTTGTGTGTTGTGCAATCGCTAATCGGTTCGAGTACCTGTTACAAACTGTTATACCAGCCCTAACGGGTTTCCAACGCGATGCATACCTGGGTGTGTTGTAGGAAGGGTTCTGGGGATTTCCATCGTTGGGAAGAGACTCTCGATTACAAGGATATCACACATGCTGAGGTGTCGATATGGGATTTTGAGTTACGCGAATCCGAATATCAGAACGGAGAATCGGGTTCGAACGTATACGCTACCACTCAAACACAAGTAAGGGAAAGCGCACAGCACACCTCACTTGTCCGTACTCGCAGCGTCACATGTCCTCAGGCCTACGTCAACACCGCAACACCCAGGTCCGGACGCAGCCGCTAGCGGACGGACCAGTCTCGCGATTCTGATTGGCGATACGATCACGCGGACGTCGCGACAGGCCAAGTCAGATCGGCCCCGCAGGCGAAGTATGGACGCGTACGCGTAGGCAGATCAGTGACACGCGCGCATGTTAGCGCACAAGAGACGGACGCAGCGACCTTGTGGTAAGATGGCAGAGACGGAGCAAAATGTGTGTACCAGTAACCACAATGGCGAACTTTCTAAACCAATCGGGGAATTATCGTGCTGCCAAGTTTAATTCAACGGCACGTGTGCTACAGGTCTGCTTATTACGTGGCTACGACCACGTCGGGCTCCCCCCGGTTGCGAATATTGTGAGCACACACAAGGGCTTCGTACCCTCACAAACTGGCGCCCAAACTACCAACAGTGGTTTAGCAGTTTGTTTTCTCTGTGTGCTAAATTTGCTCAACCTATTTCACGGCAGTTTTCCGCAAATACGTACAATACCTGTCTGGAATCGATTGGAACAAAAGCGAAACATCCGGAGAACTGAGTCATTTTCGACAACCTTGTAGGCATTCCTCGATTCTTGGTCCTTCGCACCTAATATGCTACCTCTGAGCCATTCGGCTGAAGACTGTAAAAGGTGATCATGATTTATCTTAGAAAGAATTATAGAGTGACTATGTTGGGAGAATACCATCTAGTCTCTCTATTTTCGCTTTGCGTATAGTTTTACCTCTGAGGTGAGATGGACCAAGTGGTTAGAGCGCGAATTTCGTGACCGGAAGGTCCGTGGTTCGAACCCGACTTCTGCCTCTCGACTTCCCTGTCTAGGCTTGGGCAACCTGGCATAGCAGCTAGGCACCGAAAAGGTGCTACAGCTGAACGATTTCGATAGTTCTATCTACCGATTTGAACGTTATGCAACGCATGACTTTTCCACTGAGGGATTTTGTGTCCAGGTGTGTGGTCAACTTTGATTGCTGTGATCAAAGTAGGATAGACTTTATTGCGGCTATTCTGCTGTTGGGGAGTGAAATGTGGAGAGCCGGCTCCACATGTTTGTTGGCTGCGTTGGGTTTATGGTTCACGAGTATACTTACTCATTCCCATATCAGATTTCCTACGTCAGATTTGGATAGTTAACCTCGTCCAAATGTGGTGTACGGTGTGTACTATGCATACCATATGTTTTGTTTCGGCTCAGTATTCCAATAATCTTTCATCAGTGTTTCATCTTTTGCCAGCATGCTCCCATCTAGATCATGTCTTGCCACCCTTGTGTCTGGCGGATGAAGGGGTTCTTATCAAGAAGCACGTGGTACACCATCTACGACAAAATGGCTGCCAGCCGGAGGAGAAAATACTAAAGGAAACTATTGGTAAGTTCAAGCACACGCTACTAGTAAAGCGTTTTGCACAAGATTTGTGAGCGGGTTGGCGTAATTTCTCACTTAGAAACGAGATCAACCGATTCTTCGGTCGGTTTAAAGAAGTGTTCCGATTGATTGCCCTGTGCTCCCGCTTGGCGCTATCATTATCAGCTCATCCCTACCTCTAATCGGTCGTCTTTGATTCTCAGATCTTGTATCTCGTACTCTGCTAAGGCTCAGGGTATAAGGAAGCGTGAATTTGCGTACTGTTTTGTGTTATTCTTGATGTGGCTAGAGCTCGTCAGAAACATTTATCAGACAACAGTTTTCCGCTGCATTAACCACCACACAGTTGAACCAAGTTCAAACTGTGGACAGTAGATTACAGCGTAAAGGCGCCTACGAAGATTTAACTCAGACGATATTCCATAGAAATGTGAGGCTTTCGTGAGAACTGGTTCTATTCTCGTGGAAACGCACTGAAAGGTGCACAAAGTGAACTGTGGTGCAAATGCGTCGTGGTTCAGAGCTGATGTCAGTTACTCTGTGGTCTCGCATGAATTGGCTAAATGGGGCTAGTCGGAGGGATTTATGTTCGACCGTTCTTGTGCAGTCAGAAGCACTTAGCAACTGTTCATGTTGTATACAAAAATGGGGCTCAAGCAAACTTCCTTGCAACTGTGGTAAGAAACCAGACAAGACAAACACACTACTCTTAAGTTTGCTGATAACCTTTCGACAGGCCACAACCGGCTTCATACTTCTTGGGGCCCATCAAATAGGACAGTTCCCGAGTTTTCGTCAGTCTCCTGCTCGGACGGAATGCGCCAGCTACTCTCGTATGCACACTAATTTGGTTTTGATGGGAGACGCGACTGAATCCAGTTGGATTCAGCTGGAAACGACTTTTCAAGTTCTGCCCTTAATTAGTATGTCGGTATAATAAAGACAGGAAGTTTGTACTTGAGGACTGCCATCAGTAACGTCGTCGGGATCGACGGTTTAAGTATGTAGACTACAGCAATCTAGCTTGTGTCGTTTTCACTCTAATATGCATTTCCTGCAATTTTTTATATACCAGTGATGAGCTCCGAGATGACTCCAGCTATTGTGTTAGAAGTTAGTTTTCAGGAGACAAGTCCACGTGTGTGCTCTTATGCCTCTGGGTCTATTTCAGTTTGTGCGGAAGGCGAACACCCGCGATTCCAGTGCAATCCAACAACTTGTGATAGCGTCCGTACAGTCTCCTTGGTCGAGCGTGTGGGATGTCGGTGCGTTCCACGCGTGAGAGAAGAGCGCGGAAAATGTTGCTGTCCGGAGCCAACAGAACAACAGGAGTGTACAAATGGTGGTCGCATACTAGTGCTTCATAAACTCTCCTTCATCTTGGACAAAACTCGACAAACATGTGTACCTCAAAAAGACAAGGTTCAAAAAGAAATTGGTAGGTTTTTTCAACGTCGCTGAGAATTGAAACTAATGCTACACCAACAGGGTAATTATGAAAATGTAATATTAAGAAAAATAATGGAGAAATCTCCTCAAAATGACCTTCATACAGTATTATTTGTTTGTACTTGGGATTCAACTAATCAAGTTGCACCGCTTACTACGAGCAATCCATGGGACCTAGTGAAAGTCCTCGAATCAACGATATGTCAGTTCACACTTCAAAGTGTATCTCCTTACTTGAGTCTACTGGAAGTATAGTGTGATCACAACGGTTGTTACCTAAGGTAACAATATCCCTATCTCCCGAAAGTTCAATAACCGAAACAGATACTATGTCGTCTTGTCAATAATACTATGTCGTCTTGTCCACGGTCTTGGATTCAGTCCTCTGATCTTGGTTATTCCTGTGAAGTGTTCTGTCTGTCACCGTCAGGTTAATTCACCACGTACAATGCATCATTTATAGTATAGTGTTAGACATGAATTTTTTATATGTGCCAACTTCAACACATCCACGAGGTTTTACAACGGTCACTTGTCGTAACCGCCAGAAGTAGGACGCCATTCAACTGGAGGGGGATCGGCCTCACCTTGTTATCAGGGGCGCATGGCTGAGATCTCAAACTGATTAGAACAAACCTGAACTGTTATTCTAGAATGTTTGACCAGTCTGAATAAGCGGGCAGTACATAGCTCACACCCATTCGACAACTGGTTTGCAGATGAAGCTATTAGGACATGGAATTGTGAAGTGAGCGTATTTGTGCCTGCGATAACGCTCTGTCGAGCGGATTTTGTTGGCATCACATCATGCAGCTTTGATTGTTCTTCTGGGCAGAGCAATCAAGTGCGATTTGAGGAAACGTTCAGAGTTGTTCAAGTTGTAAGTATTGTTCTACGTTCAAGTAGCATAAAGTTGTCAGGTGAGATGGCTCAGTGGCTAGAGCGCGAATTTACCGACAGGCAGGTCCGTAGTTCGAACCCGACCTCTGCATCTCGACTTCTTCTGTCTAGGGCAACCTGGCCCTATCCCAGATCTCGTGCCTCCTTCGGGTGGCATGGCAGCTAGGTGTCTAAGCGGTGTGAAGTTGAGGAATTCCATTTGATCGTTTATGACTTCTTATGTTCATTTCAAAATGCAAGCTTTGACTTCGTAGCAGCTCCTTAAAGTGTAGCGTGGGAGGTCAGGAAGTCAGCAGTATTCGGGGTTCGAGAGGATGTAGCGACGGCACACGTCGGTTCTGAAATTTGCAGATATAGAGGTTGGTATTGCGGAATCCACATGGCACACAGCACACATTCGCACAGGGTAGGTAACACAGGAAAGAAGACCGGAGCGTGGCAACAACACATGTGTATTCAACCGAAACCGAAACCGGAAGCCGGGGGGGTACAAAGTTAGGTCAAGGTCAATCAGGAGTGTTTAGAAGCGGGCTACTCTCTCCTGTCCGGGGTTCGTGGTGGCTCGTCCGTGGTACCTGCAATAGGGAGAGAGAGGGAGAGGCACACATAAGGTCATGTGATAGACGTGCAAGCAGATACAGTCGAGTCCCAACTGCGCTACAAAAGTGTATTTTAAACGGACCGCAGTCAATTTCACTTTCCAGTCACTGGTCGCCACGGGTACCATCTTCAGATTACGTTGCCCAACAGCCTCACATTAGTTGAGTAGTGTCCTGTAAATTTCTTCCGACGAAGCTGAACGATATGCGTTTTATCTGTGAAGGACATCATGTTTCGTACGGTCTAGGCATCTGCCATGCTGGGCATATCCAGCTGGACTAACACACAGGCGAATTAGCTACTATCGAGCGATCCAGTTCACTGACACCCTCAAATGCTTTTCCATTGACGAGAACATCTCGGCCACAACTCAGCCCAGCTGCATCTTAGGATATAGTATACATGTTATGGGACTACTACTCTGTACAGTGAGTTTAGTTGTCAGTCTCATTACCAGGTATAAGTGGAGCGTTCAAACATCCTAGCTTGTCATGAATAAGTAAAACCCCACTGTCACATCAGACAGGGTTCATGTCTTCTTATTCATAAAAACAGTAGTCGGAGATTATCAGGACCAAGTTTGCTAACGCCTGATTATCATTTTCGTGGGGCTGGTTCTTCGGTGACCGATCCGACAGCGGAATTCCAGCAACCAGGATCTCTTTGAACGAGAGTTCTCCTATGGGGAAGAACAAATAGGAAGTCGCCAGAAGACTTCCCAGATGAGTTAACACATAGTCCTGTCGATCCGAAAATGGATACAGAATGCCGCGAAAATGTTGAAAACTGACGAGACTATTATCGGTTCGAAGAAACGAAAGAAAGAATTGTGCTAGAGGGAAAATATTGACCGCAGTACGACAAGTCGAAACCCCAATTACCTCAGTTCATCTCATACGGCACATTCTTATATGATGCTGGATACGGCATTCCAGTTCGGCTCTACAGATTTTCAAAATGAATATCTTTATTTACTTTCTGGAAGTAATCCTTCTTTGTTCTCTACTGTATTGTTAGACTATTTATGCGCAACCAGTTTCCCAGCCACATCAGCACAACAAAACGTAATCATCATGGCGTATTGGTCGTTTTTTTTATCTGATTCCATTCACTTTCTCGCACTTCTACCATACGAAATTTTGAGTTTTTTGTGGTTCTCGAGTGTTGAAGAGCCAGCCTTGACAAAGCCACTTGTTGTTTGGCCACAGAATGTCATGAGACCGGACCGCACTTGCTCAAAGAATACTGTGATAAGGAAATTTGTCATCCGGTCGCCCTTCTGAGACAAGTTGTTCTTCGTAACTGTCAATGTGGTAACCTGGTTCTTCGCAAGGTGAACAAAAATACTCGCTGCTGTTGCCCACCACCACGGTTCAAGACCAACTGTTATCCACAATATGGTGTTATTTCGCGCGTTATGTATCGCTACGAACTGTTCAAAGGTCACTGCATCTCCCGGAAATTTGTCGATCAAGACAAAATTGGTGAGTTGTAATTTTTTTACGGTGATTTTGACGGTGGGGTTCTTCAGTATACCCGCGCGTATGACCCTAAGTGTTGCGAGAGCACATTATCGAATAGGACACAACACATCAAGCCAAACTGTTCCGCACCGTTGCCTACATGGGCCACTTTAAGCCGGATGTGATCCTGTAGACTGAGTCAAACGGCTGGAACTCCAATGTTCCCAATAATGCTTCCTGTATGAGCTACATACTGTGATGTTCACAAGCTTTCGTCGATAAGTTCCGTTTAGTTCAGCAGGCAAGGTGTGGATGTAGGGGAACACCTCGTGCGTCGGTCTCCATTAATCCTCTCATAACCACATTGATGACCTTCAATAAGGGATTTCTTAGTTCTGTGGACGATTTCAAATTACCCATGAAATCATCGTTGAACTTCTTATGAGAATTGGATACATCCAAGCAAGTCGGACTGGGCCGCTTAATCACAGGACTAAAATAACGCTCTAAGGGACGATTTCTGTTGTCTTTTTTGCACACTATCCCTCCGTTATCCCAACACGTGAGGATGGAACAGAGTTCACAATGAAGTGGCACTGCAGCTGGACACCGAAATGTGAACAGGGACTATTCAGTGAGCACTTTTTAAGCTTCAACCAGATCCACACTCGTGTTATCCACTTGTCACGTTAGAGTTTGCTACCTTGATCGATTATCAGTTGAGTTCAACCGGGGTGCCTGCGTTTTGTGTCTATCTCCTCTTTATATGATAAACCATCTGAGTGAATTTCGGTCACCATGGCTGATTAAAAAGGGGAAAGAACCAGCCGGTTTCACATGCAAGAAGATTCAAGACATGCAGAACATAAATTTGGCGTCGAAGTAGGAGGATGAATGAAGGAACCTAACTACGAAGGTCCAGAAATGGCTTATAAGTGCCCATTCCATAAACACTGGAATTTCCTACACACTTTCATGACCGAACACTGACGCACTTGTTTGGTTATGAATCTGTTGGTGCAGTTGTGCGACTCAGCCAATAAATGACAAATTTGTTTACTAGAAAGAGTGACTGTGATCCATTTGCTGGATATATGACCTACTGCTGTGTACGACGTATACAAAAAACTTTTTTGAACCACACAAATAATCATACTGTTTTAGACCACAGTTTTCTCAATGCCCCCTTTATACCGTGAACCCGAGTCTGGACAGCCGCTTGATAGCTTGATGCGTTTGGCCTATTAGTGCATAGTTGTGATAACCGTAATACAAATCATGTGTATGCACTAATAAAAGTTTTTAACTGTGATTGACAGTTGTTTACAGGAGCGCTTTGTAGCATGTATGAAATAAAGAGCAATATAAAATGTGGAGCATGTCAAAAAGGGAACTTATCGTATGTGAGAGTCCCTTGACGAAAGTCCGGACGGCGGGAACGTGTTTTCTCCGCAGCATAGCTGCTACACGTGTTCCATACCTGTCCGTGAACCTAGAGTGTTTGGCTGACTCCTTGTTCTCCGCGCGCACGCGGGTTTGTGCGTGTTGACTACGTTCGATTTCCCTATATGTAGGCCCGTTTGCGCGTACGTGGGCGTATCATCACGTGAGTGTTTGTTCCCTCACTAGACGCAGACAATGGATGTCCGATGAGTCCCCTTAATGTGACGTGGTTGTGGGCATGACAAAACGACAAGTCTCGTGATCCAGTGAGCGACTGTTAGCTGAACAGTTAAGTGTGTGGGTGACTGGGTCGCCACAAGCCAAACCAGAAAGCCAATCAGTGTGCGAATCAGCTGATCTGTTGATCACTGACGCGTACGGGCGTGCCATGTGCAACCGAAAACGGTCTGTTTGGTAAAGCTCACGTTCTTCATGCGAAAATGGACAATGTGAAGTTCGATTTCCAAGTGCTTCTGTCTCCTAATAAATACCAGTAATATACAGAAACAGCAATATCAGTGTTGACATTGATGGTTTGCTGTCTCAAGACCAAAATATTTATTGGATTTCTAGTGTGTATATTCGTATAACGATTTGTATTTGCATTTCTTCTCAGTCTGCCCAAAGGAGCGCATTACTCGTGGTGTTTGCAACCGGGCAACTGGAATGCGCCCATTGTTGCGTCATTATTACGAACTTGTTGGTTGTAAATGCCATCCGCGAATTCACAAGGATAGTGAACCTTGCTGTAAGTTCATCAATGCGGCCATAACTTTTGCTCGTAAGATGTTTTGAAAGTTTTCTGACACACTCGGTAACGGCTTAGTCAGCAACGATGTTGAGACATTGGATTGTTACTTTGACGCTAAGATTAGTCCGTGTTAATTGGCCGATGTTGTCCCAGACGTGAGTCACTCGGTTTAAGTACCGAGCTCTTCCATCCAGATATTTGGACCCTGAATCTCTTGAAATGTGTGCGCTTATGTGGTTTTAGGGCGTTTTCAAACATCACAAGATGTGACTCTTGTTCAGACTACTTATTGGCATTATCAGTCAGGTTTAATAGTTGTGAGCTGTCTTACTTTTCATTCCGGTCAATCATTGGTTCCCCCATGGGACTTGATAACCATGAAAAACGTGGACTAACAATGTAATCATGTGTGAATAAGGATGATGCAAAACGGCTCGGCTAGTTGAGATTCTCGTTCGCATTGTGGCTCATCCTGCTGGTGTACAGAGTTCGGTCACGTGATCCCTTGGTTATTAGCTCTGGCAGCTTGGTCCTTAGCCACGCCCCTTATTATGATGACATATTATCACGGTCAGCTGATAGGGGCTATGGTGCCAACAAACCACATGCTAACGTCTATCTTACCTCAAGCTCTTGACCCAACCCCCACCTTGCCGCTAACTAAAGCAGTCGATTGCAGAAAGTGATGTACAACACACTTCTGACTCTTGAATTCACAGCCTGTCCATTGCCGGAAACTGTCAAACTTCCGTGTGATCCTGCTAAACCGATTCGCAAGGTTGTTCGTGTCTCCTTCGATTTGGAAGAAGATACCATCAATAGGAAAATGCGCTGTGCGAAGCGTATTCACCATATACGTAACGAACCTTGTGGTGAGTCCACCAATCAGTTTGATCGCAAGTTACACCACCTTAAAGAGCTGTAGAAGTAAATGGTCTCTTGTCAAAGGATGTTTGGGTAGGTCAGTCATAGCCTTCAGGAGACAAAAATCCTAGGGATTTATGTTTATGTTGCTGTCCCGAAGCATATCGGGTTTCGTTCAGCAATGAAAACAGGTCGACCTCCGCTACCAGTCGGTTTGAGAGCGACACAACAATCGTGGCTTTTTCTAACCGGCGTATTAACAAAATTACGCATTCGACAGGTCGGAGTTTTTTTGAAAGCAGTCAGAGCTGAATGAGACTTCCAAGCAGCTAAATTTGTTTTTTTTCCAGCTGTCATCTTAATGTTGATACAAGACCATCAACATTTACCAGTCTGGTGCACTTGGACGGCAATAAAATTGTCCCTCTCTCGAAAAAAGCACTGGGGTAAATCACTTTTAAGATGGAACAGTTTTTTTAGTCCCATGATGGCCTTATAAAAGGGAAACGTACCTCAAAAGATTGTACCCCTGCTCATATGGGTGAAACTGTACTCGCACCAGTAATACTGCCCACAACAGTGGTAGTATTACTGATCACATTTAGCAGTGACGTTCTCGGCATATCATTCAGTAGTACAGTAATCCTTTTGAATTTGCAGAGAACCACAGACGAAAGGCTTTATTGTTATCACCAAATTCTCTCTTCAAAACGTTCATCTGCAGCTAGCCGATGCTGTCCAGAATACATGGACCTAGGCTTCACAGGCCAGTGTTCACAATCTCTACCTTGACTATATAATAATGTAATTTATCAAACATTTATCCAACCCATTCCAATACAGCTTGTGAACCGACAAAGATTGAGAAGCACTGTGGGCGCGGTGAGCTTGTTGTGATCCGCAAGGAACACCACCTGACCGTAAAAGGTGACGAACCCACATGCGTACAGCGGACCTATGTCAAACGAGTACCAGTCGTATGCAACGGGGAACTCACGAAGATCTACCGCTCGCAGTGTGAAGGCTTCCGGCGGAAGGTCATACATGTAAGAGAATTTGTTGAAGCAAACACCTGTGAATGTCGAAATCAAGCGCGTGTGACCTTCGAGGCTTGCAGTAAGTGCTTGGCTGTTTCTTATAATCATCGTTTTGGCTCGAGCAAGTTGTTTTCCGTTCCGTTCAGATTCTATGTGCTCACCTCGCAACCGACTATTCCATATGATTGACATGAAGTCATTGTGAAAACTGACCGAAATTGGATTAGATTTGATCTGGTAAGGTAAAAATGCTGAACAAGTGGTGGGTACTTTACCGGTTCAGGAAACTACCCGAGGTACTTGTTTTACTTTCATTGGCGTTATGATTATCGCTTGATTGCGTTTTCAAAAGTAAATTTTTCATTGTTATTTTCTACCCTGATGTGGTGTGATGGACTGGAATTACCTCATTAATTTGGGTTCTGATTACCTATTCGTAATGGAGTGTTCTAATTAGCCTCCATTATTATCAGATTGACGTGCGAATCGGTAGCCGTAGAGACTACTCGAGTTGCAGGAAGCAGGATGTAAAAACGTTCGGGGATCCCTGGCATGTTCACGCTTGGTTATTGGTCTTCCTCTTGGATAATTGCACAATAACGATAGCAGAACTGAAGTTCGTGGACGGATAAGTCTATTATTGGCTTGCATTGACTTAAAAAAACTCCGGAACGTCACAAGTACTGTGTCAGTCGAAACTGCTTTTCGGCAAATAGCAATAACTAGAACGCATCCATGGCCAGCGATCAGTACACTGTTGAGTTTGGTCAATTATGCCAAGTCACTTTCGCCTATTCCATAGGTTTGCCGACTGCTGACCTCCTCGTAGCACTGAGAGAGAAGGTAAATATCTCTCGTTTGTGGTGAGGATATTGATATCCCCAACAGCGCAGCAGCTGACTTACAAGGTTTGAGGCTCATCAAATAAGCGCCACCCAAGAATTTCAATGATTCAGTTTTTTTCATAAAGGAAACTACTCACAAGGTTGCTGAAAATTCTTCGACAGCCGATGACTCGTTTCGCTCTTCTTGGGGCTCATCTGGTAGGCGCAGTCCCCGAGTTTCCGTGAACCTTGTGTTCTTTATGAAAATATACTGCGATATCTCGAATATCGTTCCAACCGAAACATGAGGCGCCCTGTGTGCAGCACATCCAGTTGTAGAATATCATAAACGAGAGATTCAGTTGAGTCGCTCGTGAAAACCAAATCGATTTGCAAATAAGTGTGTTTCTCGTGATCAGTTTTTTGTCCACTTAAACGGCTACTTTTTGAACATTTGACCCCAAAAACTGACTCACTAGAGTGGGTAAGGAATTATCGAAATTCAAGTTTGCAGCCCGAATCCGAAGTTCCAGATTATACTTTCAGCCAAGGCTGTCATCGGTTTAGAGTGAGGAGGCAGTCCATTGGTTTCGTGTTTTTTTTTTCACAACTAGTTTGATCCCGTCCAAGCTCGACCGTTTCCCTCCCCCCACAGACTGTCATCTGAAGAATCGTGTGCATCAAGACTGCAAGAATGGCGTTCTGTTGGTTTCGAAAGAACTGTACACATCTAAACCGTTTGTCGACCACTGCATTAGAACAATCTCCAGAGGGGTACACCCTGTTGGTAAGTCAACCGGCTGTTCTTAGCGATTGTTGTATGATTCAACCATAAAGTGATATGGATAAGGAGTCTGCTATTTTGTATGTAATGTTGTAACAGGAAACCTCACAGGCGGGTGAATCTTGCGACCAGTAGCGCGAGTATTGTGGCGACGGTGCGTGTCTGTGTCTGATGCGTGTTGAGTATGTGTATACACGTATGTCAAACCAGACTAGCTGAAGGAAACTACCCGTAAGTTTGCTGAGAATTCTTAAGCAGTCCACGACTAGTTTTGTCCTTCCTGGGGCTCGCCATAAACGAAAGATTCAGTTGGGTGTTGCGCTGAAATGTTCAACTGAGTGCACCTCGCGAATTTGGTACAATTTGGGGTCAACTAGATCATCGGGTTGACTCGGGAACTGCACTTACCTGATGAGCCCTAAGAAGAAACCGATCATTATGTCAAACCAGACTAGCTGAAGGAAACTACCCGTAAGTTTGCTGAGAATTCTTAAGCAGTCCACGACTAGTTTTGTCCTTCCTGGGGCTCGCCATAAACGAAAGATTCAGTTGGGTGTTGCGCTGAAATGTTCAACTGAGTGCACCTCGCGAATTTGGTACAATTTGGGGTCAACTAGATCATCGGGTTGACTCGGGAACTGCACTTACCTGATGAGCCCTAAGAAGGGCGAAACCGATCATGAGCTACCGAGGAGTATTCTGTAACCCTATGACTGGTATGTTACGCCTAATGTGACACTGACTAACAATCCCAACTTGGTGCGACACATCATAAACAAGAGATTCGGTCAGAATTTAATTGGATCTCCGAACCAAACCAACTCGGTTTTCAAATAAATGCATTTTACATGTTAGCTGAAGTTATCTGTGATAGTTCGTGTGGACGAAGTAGTGGTCACGATTAGATCGTTATGTACATATTATGTGCACATTTTTGTTGTCGCCACATCGTCTGTGGGGTCATTTTTATCCAGATAGATGAGTGAGTGATTCCAAGACGGCGATCAACGCAGGTTGATTGAGTACAGAAATCCGCCGGGTAAAAATTACCTCTCAATAGGAAACTCTATGCTCATAACCTGTTATATTCACTGATTCGCCAATCTATGGTATCTGCTGTTGAACCGCTTCAGTGCCTAGTGCTGGAAAAAAGACTCACAGAAGGGAACAATGCAGCTGTATTCCGAACAAGCGAGTGAGTGCGTGCGAGAGCAAAAGTTATGATGGCCCCATGCTATTTAAAGGAGGCTTTCTGACATTGATCCAGGCTGTCTGATAGGCGTTAGTGAGCACCCGTCAGCATCGATCTTGCCTCTATGACATGCCTGAACGCTGATCACATTCGGTTGTGCTTCTGTGGTGTGCCTGAACACTCTTCCGCTTTTGCTAAATTGATTGAATGATTGACTGGCCTGGATGCTTGCCGGCTTTCCTGTTGGGGGTTTGGTGCAGTTTTAGGGTCTCAGTAGGTTCCGGGCGTTCTGGGGCTACTTTCAGGAATCTGACCTTCGTGACATGACCTTTTTCTATGAATTCGACATGTGATTGATTTGTCTAATTGAGCGATTTTTCAAAGTTGACTAAAACCTCGGGTTAGCGAATAGCGTTTAATGAAATGAAATAGAAACACAACGGAAAATATGATGAACTGAAAATTAAAGCACGTCGTAAGTAGTTTTGTAGCCAATATCATACACCCGTTGGCGAAAAATTTGCCGAAAGCATGCCCCTGTTCTTTGTCTAAGTAGACGGATGCGGAAGTGCCTGTTCTTGTAACTCGAGTGGTGTTATTCAGAATAAACATCATAGTTGAAATGCTCACCAACGTCTGCCGGTTCGTACAAGGATTTATCAACGCGATGCCTTTTGTTCACAGGGTTCCAACTAATTTTTGAGAGCTTTGAACTTTTATATGGTCCCAACCTGTAGATCAAATCGTTATGGAATCCGCTTTTTTTACCCTAGAAGCAGTGAACAGCTGTTGCTGGGGAAAATATCACCGTTTACAAGTGGTGGTAAATAATTGGTACTTTGCAGTGAGCACCGAGAAACTGCTACCTCATTTGATTTCAAGATGGATACTGTGAATCAACGATTAACCCAAATATGTTGAGTACACGCGATCACATTTATTTACACAGGTTAGACACAGTTTACCTCGCGAATGCTTTTCAGCTAAGCATGCTTTGTTGCCTTGTATGACTGGCCGGCTACGCAACACCCAAGATGCCCACCCAACTTACAAGGCGCGCCTGGCCCATTCACCTCGGCTAAAAAGTTAAAGATTCAGCTTGGACGGGATGAAACACCACATTTTATCAGTCGTTTAACGGCTTTCGGGCTGTTCCGTGTTCATTGTAGTGTTGGCTTCCTGAAATAAATAAAAGAAAGGAAACTTTGTGTTAGTTTATTCTAAACAATCCGCTCTGACGAAGGGTCAACAGTCTTAGTGAAACTCAGGCGCTAGAAGTGTAGCAGGGACTGGGTTTCTTTTTGGTCATGTATCGTGTAGGATGTTAATCAAACAAGATAGTGTTTAAACTATAGCAATAACGACATGAAACACTTATGCGTAGTTGGTGTCCTTCATTTTCACACTGTTTCCCGGGACGCCGTCTGCTAAACTTCACTACTTCGGTCAAAGTTGACATCGTAAATCGACTTTTTGTGGGCCGAGACAACTTCACGCTACGTAGGTTGGTCGGCAGCACAGCAACAGTGGTATTAAGACACGTTTAATCACCCGCAGATCTCCACCACACAGCAGGTAAGGTTGATTATCCCAGCAGCGGCTATGATAGGGTAGACGATCGTTTGAGCACAAGCTATCGGCGGAGCACGTCAGTAGGCCAAAGAGCCACAGATCACTCTTACCTGAGTTGTGACCCGCCCTCCCCAATGGTCTTCTTCAGTTTGTCGGTTACGGGCGATGAGTATGCTATGTGAAACTTCCGTTCTTCCGGGTGGGTTTATATATAAGGAGATAGCATACGGTAACGTTAGAGTCGCATCTGCGCCGGTTTTTCATCCACCGGGAAGGCTCTTACCTACCACTGCTCACCCAGCTTCTTCCTGAACAAGCGAATCGCATGCATTCCACGAAGGTACACGTAACCGCACACCCGGTACTGATGCCGTCCATTGCCAGAAAGGTGTAGTGCTTGTGTTTCAAAAGGACTCACCAAAAATAGTTTGATCGCGTGTTACATCGATATTCACATTGTCTAGGAAATGCCGAAATAGCGCAGTCTGTTGCATTCTGGTGAAGCGTATGTGGCTGTATTGCGCCTCTTTCGATCCGAACACGCGTCCAAGGACCAACAACCGAAGAAAGGACAAACAATGTTGAATGCTCTTCAAGGCGCGGTAGGCGCTAGCACAGTCAAGGCTCGCACATCAGGCACAAAGTGTCCGTCATACTGGGTCTGGTGTGAGATTAAATGGCAAAATTGTACATTCAACGCCATGTGCCACGCATAAAAGTGTCATAAGTACGCAGGGAGCCCACAATGGCAAGCAAACACAAGTCACTGACTGCGACCTTAGGAAGTCCCAGTCCAATAACAGCCTTAGCGGATTGAGGAAAGCAGATCCCTCGATAGGAGATGATCACCGGTTGGTGAACCAAAAAGTCGATATCACAACCGATGGCATGTAGGGCTGAGATTATGGCGAGGGAATGTTCATCAGCACCATACTTCTGCTTCTTCTCATTCCACACTATCTCTCCACGCCCATCCGAGACTATGCTAACGTCTATTACGGTTGCACGGCGATCTCGAACAGCGATTAGGTCAGGTTTGATGAACGACGTAGAAGTAGGGGTTCTCAACTCCTCGAAGACGGTGTACCCCAGTCGACGGAGACGTTTTGCAAGTTCCCTTGCAACCCGATTATGACGAGCACATCTGGCATCATGCGTGATCCAGCAGGATTGCAAAATATGCACCAAACTCCCCGGTTGGCCACAGTTTCCACGACATAAGATCGTCTGGCCACCATGACCATGCCGAGCGCTTCTAACTCTCGTCCTAAGCAGGTTGCATCGGAGCTGGATACCGCGGATAAATATCCGTGGAAACACTCGTTCTGGGAATACGAGCCATCGATTCGAGAGAGGCGAAGTGACCAACTCTCGTAAACCGCGACCGTCAACGCTGTTGTGCAGACTATCACCCCAAGCAGCCACCAGCTCCTCCTTGGTGTTTACGCATGCACCATGGACTCGGATCGGAAGGCTGAGATCCCGAACAATTTTGCCAAATGCGGAATCGTTGACCACATTGCGTAGTACTCGGCACTGAGTAGAAAGGAGCTTTTCCATGCGCGTTTTCCGCTGCATCGGGATTGTTGCACTGAGACTTGGGATACCAAGTCCCTCATGTTGTTTACCGGCGTGCATGTAGCTGATCGGGTGTCCTTCGGTAGACGTAGCCATCCACGGATATATTGCCTGATGTAGTTGTCCAATCTTTTTAGCGTGTTCATGTGGACTTGGCGGAGCACCAGCGAATATGTCAGCCTTGGTATCAGGTAGTTCCTCGTGATATCCATTCTTTGGTGCGGCTTTAGCGGGGCACGCGTTACTTCTTCGAGCAGTTTGAGCAGGTGTTGTCGGTGGATGAAGACCCCTTTCCCCTTGGAGGTAAAGGGAATGCCCAAATATGTTACAGTGTCTGTCGAACCCAGAGGAGTGATTAGTTCGTCGGCGAAGCGAAATGGTTCGACTGAGACTGCTGTTGCCCGATGTCTCCTGTCCCCACAAATAACCATCACTTTAGTCTTTCGGGCGTTTATTTGCATGCCAGCTCTTCCCAACTCGACCGCAGCAGCTTCAAGCTTCTCTTTAAGGCGTGCCTGACTTTCTGCACACACGACCCAGTGAGTGATTAGGACACTTGCGAAAACATCGGTTACAGACAATGATGTACCGCATTTCAGCACTGCTTTTCATGTACCCGATTCCTGTTCAGCCAACCTTCGGTCGACATGAAAACAGCCGTACAGAAGTTTGGACAATATGTGGTTGCGAACAAGATGGTAACAAATGGGAACACTTGTTGTGTCGATGGAAAAAGCGTCACTGCTTTTCTGCCCGCTGCGCGAAAAAATACGACCTAGTCATTCTTCCTGTAACGACGTCTTCTCGAGAAGAAAACCGTGCAAGAATCAATTTCTCCGCAAAAATCTCCTGTGAAGTCGAGCTGAGTCACGATAAGCAAAATTAAGGTTGAAACATGCGCCAGAAGATGGTCATTTAGGCCCAGTTTTAACAGATTCTGACAGAAGCCCTGAACCTCTATGGATCAGGCACGTATATGTACCAAAGTGCTCTACTTTAACCTAGAAGTTGGCTTTCTGAAAACTGGGGTTTTAGAGGAAATTACGCATATGAGATAAAAATCGGTGTAGTACATCGTATGGCCTGAAAACAGACGGAAATATGCATGCGTGTTCGTAGACAGTTATATGGCTGTCTGTTAAGAAATATAGCGTGATAACCGAGTCTCCCAGTTTCTTTTGTCTTGGGTCTATTATGCTATAAATATCATGTGTGGTACTTGTGTTCAGCGATCTCCACTTGGAGTTGTCTAAATGTAAACCGGTTACACTGGCTGGACGTTCTGTGCATCACACTTGGAGCGATGCCTTCGTTCCAATAGGATTCTTTTGTCTAACAGGTTACAATCCATTCAAAATGGGCTTCACTCTTTTAAAACTTTTTGAATGGCATCTGAGGTTTTTTTACCGAATATTGTGCACACAGAAGTTCGTTTTGTTCGGCGTACTTAATCCAGGAAACCCGAAAGTTCTTACTTTCTATTTCGAATAACGATGTCTTTTAAGGGAACAGAGATAACCCTGTGCCCAGCTGACACCAATCATGTCTCAGAAGCCGCACATATTGCAGCAACCACACTCCGTAATATACTGCTAAACTACATCAAAAAGATAGCATTGCGAAATTCTGCTCTTCCCCCAGGCATTTGGCTCTCTTGCATGCATGAGATATCTTCAATAGAAGCTGACTTAGCAAGCCTGGAAACCCAGTGCAGCTACGTCAAGCTTATAATGGGGACCAAAGAGAAACCATAAAACCTCGACATTTCTACCGTGGACATTCATCGAAAGTCCGCACATTCGGACGGGTTTTTTTTACCGAATATTGTGCACACAGAAGTTCGTTTTGTATCGGCGTACTAATCCAGGAAACCCGAAAGTTCTTACTTTCTATTTCGAATAACGATGTCTTTTAAGGGAACAGAGATAACCCTGTGCCCAGCTGACACCAATCATGTCTCAGAAGCCGCACATATTGCAGCAACCACACTCCGTAATATACTGCTAAACTACATCAAAAAGATAGCATTGCGAAATTCTGCTCTTCCCCCAGGCATTTGGCTCTCTTGCATGCATGAGATATCTTCAATAGAAGCTGACTTAGCAAGCCTGGAAACCCAGTGCAGCTACGTCAAGCTTATAATGGGGACCAAAGAGAAACCATAAAACCTCGACATTTCTACCGTGGACATTCATCGAAAGTCCGCACATTCGGACGGGTTTGCACTACGACTCCGATCACCTGCACTGTCTAAAATATGCTGTCATAGCACCCATATTACGTCGGATCGATAACTTTGTTCAAGTGACGCCCAATCAGTGAAGGAAATGAAGTGCCATCAAAAGGTGTCTCAAGAGAATCAATATCCAAAGAACCTCATCCATAGGGGGGTACAGCGCAACAAGTTCCCATGGTTATGCGGTACGGGAGCAAAACCCCACATTCTATTCGAATTATCCAATGGATAATACAATCCAAGGACGTTTTGTTCGACAGAGAAATCCTTTCAGACTCGCTCCGGCGCTTTAACCGTGTCCACCAAATTGGATGTACGGAATGTTTCGTCCACTATGTTGGAAGAGCATCCAGACAACTCCAGGTTAACATCGTTGAGCACAGGTGCCACAAATGGTGCTTGAAAATGCGTTCGGCTAAGTGTCTGATGGTGCTGTGAAGCGATTTTGGAAGTCCCAACGGAGGTTTTGTCCTTTAAGTGAGGCCAATCGAAACTGAAAAGCTGAGAAGCGCTATTAAGCTGTTTCATCCTTATTATCGGCAGTACGTATCTCACAAAACACCAGGGAGTTTCGAACCGGTGATCTCCAGACCAGTTTGAACACCTAAATGGTCTGCCACAAACGGCTCATCAGCAATGTGAGTAAATCATGCATAGACAGGATACAGTGCCACTCATCCGTCAGTCACGGAATTCACATTACCTGGTCACGTATTGACTGGTTCATTGAGTGACGACTTGTCAGACGGAAGATTCACTCATCGTTTGATTAATCCTTCTTTTCAGCTACTTATACGTTGTTGGTAGTGTGAAAATATCTAGGAATTTTTGACGGAGACCGCTTAGTAAGGATCCAAATATCTGGTTCCAAGTGTTCTTTTTATTCCTGCTTTTTCCGATGAACTTATGCATCTGATTTTATACTGGTACGATATTTATTTGTGGTTTATTAGCCAAGAAAGAAGGCCATCGTGATTACCATAACTTCCACGGCTAACTTCAGTCCACATCGGTGAACAAAATATACTGCATGTGTCTAACTTTTCACTCAAATTTACCGGGATCGGTCCTATGGACGAGGTTCTACCGCGAAATGCATTTTCTTTCAATAACTTTGTTGCATTTGTCAAGAAGTTCCGTTCTGTCCCGGTTTGTTTTAAATTATCTGCATAATTCGTTGATAGGAGACGGCTTATCGGCAGTAATTTTAAGAATGTGAGCCAAGAGTTAACAGTTTGTCTTAGGTCAACGGTAAACTGAGATGATGAGATTTACTTTTTCTCCTTCCCTTTCTAGTGTGTAAAGGGAGACATGAGATTGTCCAAACAAGCGGATGTACCATACAAAAAGACAACGGTCTGTTCCAGTCAGAGGAGGTCAGGTGGCAACAGGTTGTCAACTGTCAGTGTGTAACGCGAAGAAAACAAACATTACGACTTTGTGGCTGCCCCGAACCACAATTTACAAGGCGCTGCCTAGACACAGTCAATATGGCTGTGTACAAGACCACTTTCATTCGTATCGCAGATGAGTGTGTGCCGAGTCAGGAAGTGGTGACAAACGAAGTCCGTGAGTTCTGTTAATGTGGAATTCTGTGTTCGCCAACTAATCCCGATATGTTTACCGTAATCGCATCTCACTGATTGTGCAGATTCTGGTCAAAAATCAACACCTGACTGTCGAGGGTATGGCTGTTCAGCCAACTAGTGATTGGTCATCACGCTGTATTCGATAACCATTTCCAATCTTCAGGTGACCAAGAAAGCAAATGAAAGCTGGTTCGATTCAAAGCAGTAACCTGATAATGGTGTCAGAAAAAAAACTTTCGCGATCGATTTCTTAGAATCCGTAAGCTTTTGCGGAAACTGTGCAATTTCCTCATGAGTTACCTTACAGTATGCTGCCCATTATGAAAGAAGTAGATTACAGACGGTTTCAAAATACGGTGAATTTTATAGGAACTTCCAGTTCAGAAGAGCCTATTTCAACCCCTTCATAAGCAAAGGAGAAGATACCGTAAATCTGCGTTACCTTCTTCAGGTTGCTTAGAAGGCAGTCGAACATTACTGATGAGAATGGGCCAGCGGCATTTTTACTTCAGAATGCAATTTAGAGGAAGCTCCAAATGAACTTCACCAGTCATGAAGCTTCATTTCTTTCTTTAACCATCCCCAAATTTGCATTCCATTGCTGGTTAACCTGGTTTGCTTGACGTCTAGACGTCTCGTGTTGGTAAAATGTCCTATGTCCTGTGTATTTCACACTGAATGAGAACTAGAAACGCCATCAATAAACTCCCATAACGGCATAAAAGTATTACCAGTAACTCTGTCTGCTCACCTCCGGTAAATTGGCAAAAGCCCGTGGACGACTAATATCGGTGGTCTTGTGAAATTAGTCCAGCTAGAAGTTGACTGGGGTCCAAATATCAGTGCACAAGTGAGGATGACCATAATACAAATCAGGTGTACGTGCACCAATAGAAGTTTTTAGTATGGTTGCGACACGTATAAAAATAAATACAATGCGAAATGGGAGCGAGTCAAAAAAAGGAACATATCGAATGTGAGAGTTCCTTGGTGAAAGTCCGGACGGTGGGAACGTGTTTTCTCCGCAGTTTGGCTGCTACACGTGTTCCATAATTGTCCGTGGACTTGCAGGGTTTGGCTGACACCTTGCTCCCTGCGCGCGCGCGAGTCTGTGTGCTGACTGCGTTCGGTTTCCCATATATGTAGGTCGGATTGCGCGTAACTGGGCGCGTCAACAAACGAGTAGTTGCTACACTCACTAGGCGGTGCAGACAATGCATGTCCGATGAGTCACCTTGATGTGACGCGGTTTGTGAGTATGGAAAAAGACAAGTCTCGTGATCCAGTGACTGACTGTGAGCTGAACAGTGAAGTGTGTGGGTGACTGTGTCGCTACATAAAAGCAGATTCCCAATAACATTGCAGTTTTGCACTTACAGCTGATTCGTGATCGAACTGACGCACACATGGGTGAAAAATTGACTCAACCACGATAGTTTGTGAACTGACAGAGCCTGGCTGATTTAGGTGTGGTGTTCATTGTGCATGAGGCACTCTACATAACGCTTGTGTTCGTTCCTCCTCGAATGTACCAAAGCATACGTCTCAAACTATCCACTCAACTTAGGTTGTACGGATCCGGCCAAGATCGTGGAGCGGTCAACATGCGAAACGGCTGAGGTTGATCCCAGTACAAATTCACTGCCCGGCTGCTTTGAGACATTCCAGGTGGCGGTTCGACAAGTTGAAGATTGCAAATGCGTCGAAAAGCTTGTGTCAGTTCGACGTCGATGTTGTACTCCTGAACCGGTCGTTACTCGCCAGTGTGACATGACACGTGGTGCATGGGTTACCACTCTGAAGAAGTTTACACTGGTGCCTGGAAAGGTAAGATGTAAGATTTTCAAAAGAGCCTGATAAAATGCAGCCAGATTTAGAATGGAACAAAGTACTTTAATGTAGCCAAGCCTCTAGTGGGAAAAGACTTAAGTTTCCAGACAATCTAGTAGGCGGTCATCTCATTGCTTTCTGTTTTTTAAATATCTTTTTACAGTAGTATGCTAAAAGATTCACAATTTAGCGCTATAAATGTGGCCATAAAACTTCACTGATGGCGTACAACAAGCTGTTTTGGTCTGAGTGATGTAATCCAAAACAGCATGTCCAAACTCGTACCGAAATTTCTGCATCTCTCTTCCGGTATTCATTCGAAAAAGGCTGCTCCTTCTCAGTGTACTGTTAGTGTTTCAAGCCCAATGCAAGATACGTTCGTAGCGGGGGTTATGGATCAGTGATATTGCTGTCAATAATTTCCAACAGAAATATTCTCAACAACTCTGTTACTCGCACGGGAGGCTTGTAACTTAGATTCTGACATTGAACGGAATACTGGATCCGGATTATCGAGCTTTTCTTCCATGTGTTGTGGTGGTGCAACCCTGTGTCGGTCCTTTGCTTCTTGCACCGCCCATTATGGTATATCAAAAACATGGTAGATTAAGACAACTCTTGACAAAGCAAGATCATTACAAGCGTATTTATAGGACCATCATAAAATGCTACGGTGGAATTTTCGTGAGGGGGCAAGAAGCGTCGAACTATAGATGATCGATCCAGATTGGCTGACATTCTGACCAATCGAGGCGTGCCTTCGTTTAGTCCGTAGCCAGCACGTGACACGCCTGTCCAATAGACGTGATTTTCGGTTATTAGGGGCGGCTGGCCTCCGGACAGCACGATATCCGTAACCCACTACTGATATGCTTTACACAGTACCTTAATGGACAAAATGTTGTGAAATAAGTCATCAGAATACATCCGTCCAAGCCACCTGCAGTGATCCACAGGGTTTAGTATTGAGATGGTCTTTTGAGGTCGATAATTCCTTCGTCCCTTCCGTTTCCTGGCAGACGACTGCAATTTACGAAAAATAGAAAAGCAACCAAACAGTTGTCTACAAGAAGGAGATAGTATGTGTATTATGAACCAATAGATGTTGCTTGTTTGGGTTGGCTTCGCCATGCTCGTGCCAATGTTTACGTTTGTTTCCCCCTAGAGTAGATCATTCTTTCCTTAGCCGACTTTAGCGTTGCATAATTTAGCCAATTTTTACCGTTTCTTTTCGTTTACAGAATCTGTTCGAGATTGGCAGTGTGGTAATTCGGGATCACGTGCTCAATGTTGTACGTGAACAACAAGACGAACGAGTAGTCTGTCCTGAACCGAAAGTGCACGAGAACTGCGACGCGCAGACGGGACTGTGGACTCGCACAGTGACACGGTTCGAAATGGTCAATTGTCATTGCATACCGATGCGCCAGGTTGAGCGAGGGAGATGCCGTAGGTTGAGTTTGCTTTCTGGTGCGATCAGTTTTTTTGCAGCACCGTGGAAAAACTGATTTAGGTGTAGTAGCAGCTAGCCTGTGAACAGTTGTGTTCAGGTCCTGCTTGAAGTTTGTGCCCCATTCTTCACTACCTGTTCTAAATGAGTAGCCAGGCGTCTTCCAGCCTATGAAGGACCTGAAGACCTAAATTCCCTTTGCAGTCGTATGTAGTTCGCCCACCAACCTGAATGTACGGATTTGATATATAGACATGGCTACCAATTTGTCCGCGGCGAATATCATCTAAAATAACGATGTGGAAGTAGACTTCATAGAGGACCCTTACATGTTTAATAGCCAGACACGACAATAATATCCCCTAAGGCGGAGGATCTGTATCGAAAAGCCATTTCTCTGCAGGAACCCATTCAGAGTAATCGTCCCACTCACTAACTACTCTTCTCTCATGAAGGCTAGGCACTCAACAGCCCCAGATTACGGGTTACCTCCAGATAGTCTTTTGAGGAAACTAAGTCACACTGAACCAAACTAGCCAAAATTGAGTTGTTCAACAGCGAAGCAAACTCCACCGTTCATCAACCTAATAATAGGTCAATTGTTCGAGCGTGAGCTTCCTCCATCAGCACGATCTGACCTTTATCATTCATGATTTTTCATATATCGTGTCCCCCCCCAGAGTGTCCACCACCTCGAATTACCGAAACAGAATGCAAAAATAACTTCCGCCTCCGAATCAGCGATAGCTACGAGCTGATCAACGGCAAGTGTGTTCAGCGCCATGATTCGAAGCGCATACGCTGTGGCTGTCCCAAGCCAGTTCGTCGGGTGTACTGTGATGGAGAAGGTCGATGGGTTAAGTGTTACACGCAATTTTTGCTTAATCCTGCGGCGTCCACATGTCGGCTGGTCAAACATTGTGTCCGCTGGTACCAAGACTGCCCGAAAGATACCACGCGTGTCTCTATCGCCTGCAGCGCGCAGACCGAATTCAAACATACACTTCAGCGAGTGAGGTTTGTAAACAACGCAAAGACTTGTCATTGCGATCCCCAAATCTTGGATCAATGGACAGAAATGTGCCGTAAGTTTGTTGCGGAAATATTTGGAGCACGCGCACAATAAATGATTATATTGTTTGGGACGTATGAAATAAGGTATGGATAGAACTGAAAGTGTCGCTGGATTGTGGAGCGATAGCGATCCAGTTTGTTTGGAAAATCTGAACATCCCGCTTATAGTGCTCTTGGACTCCTCTTGTGCGAAAATTATCGGGTCAATGAGAGCTCACTACAGTTTTGCACAAATTTTCACCCATTTGAGGCGCTTTACACACCTTTTAGCATTAGCCACTAGTTGCTCATTCTTCAAGAGTTCACCTAGCCGAATTCCTGTCTGAACGGATCAAAGGACCATCCCAGTGCAGTACCGAATAGACTGTGGTAAACTTATGTGAGAATAGGGCCAGGCAGTTCTGTTTTCCTCGGTTGTATGAGAACGGAAAGAATTCCCACGATTCTTAGTGACATTAAAACGGTCAACCTGAAGCTGTGAACCGGCTGTGAACAGTCTTTAAGAAAACTGTTGCTTGCATTAAGACTTCGCTTGGTTCATATATGCATAATTAGCTCAGAAGGCAAACGAAACAGTGGTGGATCAGAGGGGCGACTGAAGTGATGACTTGGTAATGAACATTATGGCGGGTAGGTACCGTTGCCTCAACTGTCAAATGTCCGGAGACCAGTCCCCGGAATGCCTAATGATACAAATTGATGGTTGTCTTCTGATAAGGGTGGAAATTCAGCGCAGGTGGACTTTGTGGACTTTTGTGGACTGAGCAAACTAATCGATCATTGTTGTTGGTAGGAGAGCTGTTCCGTATAAAGCTGTTTAAATACAAATTCCAAAGATCCTGCAGTTAAATACAATCAGCAGAGAACAAAACGGTGTTGCAAGTGCTAACTGAAGAAACGAAATTGTTATGGGATAAATAGCCGCGGCCCCCATAATGTCCAACTTATTTCCACTTTGAAAGATGAAAATCTGTAACCTTATCTGAATGAAAAACTCACTTCTGGTTTTGGATTAGAGGATATCCGGCATTCCCAGTAGCGATGGGCCGAAAGAGTTATCATCTATTTTTCTATTTAATTAGAACAGTGAAGAAAATGGAAGACAGCTTTTATACCAAAAGACGCTACCTGTGTTGTTTGTCGTGCGACAACTTCGCTTAAACTATCCTGCCGAACGCTGGATAGTGGTAGTTGAAGTGCGCGAACTGCAATTTCGTTCAGCAGACTTCATTTGATCAATTCAGGCCGCCATTACCGGTTTGGTTCTCATGCTCTTTAGGCTTGAGTTTCATTGATGAGAATGATGCAGGCCGGGGCGAGATGGCTCAAGTGGTCAGAGCGCGAATTTACTGACCGGAATGTCCGTGGTTCGAACCCGACTTCTGCCTCTCGACTTCCCCTGTCTAGGCTTGGGCGACCTCGCAGTATCTTAGCCCTCGTGCCTCCTTCGTGTGGCATGGCAGTTAGGCATCAAAATGGGGCTACAGCTGAACGATGATGCAGGCCACTGCCTGGTACGTGAAGGTTGCACCGAGCACACTCTGTGGAGAGTTTGCGTTCTCTCTTGGGTATGACTGTGGAAGGGATTAGCAAAAATTGTGTGTAGTCAATACATCTTGTGGTTTGCTTTTTTGATGTGTCCTTAGTTAGCAGACTGTTGTGGAAAGAAGAAGTCAACGAACTTGTTTCAGAGTTTTAAACGGAGCACACGCAAAATGTCATTTTCAGTGAAATCCGTTTTCATTGTTCCGAATACTATCTCTGGGCGAAGACTGCTTTTGGGTATTTAAGGGAAATCGTTAAGATATAGCTGACTGGTAGCAATCAAAAGGCCGAATTTGCGTGCACAAATGAACCACTGTGTACAGAGAGGTTGAAGGGACCGAGCATAATTGACCTCTTTTACCAGGAACTTAATTATTAAGGGACACAACGGATAAACAAAGGCGGACATTTATGGCTAGGGGTTTCCACTAAAAGGATCCTCTGAGATTATTTTTGTGCAATAATTTGGTCTGATAACATTCCTCCCGTCTATGCTTCAGAATGTAATCATTTGAACCGGAAGTGGCTACGGTGTAAGCTCGGCTTGATTGAGATCAAACAGCTCACTCATCACTTGGAGAACGGTGATTGTGTCCCAAAAATGGTGAAGCATGTAAAGCTCCCAGGTAAGTGAGAGTTTCCCCGTAGTGTGTCTTAAATTTCATTGCCGAAGCTGCTTTTGTGCCGAGGTTTTCTGATTGAATACGTGTGCATGACAGGCAATCCCATACAAGACGGCCACCATCTTGCATTTTATATTCTGTTTATATTTTTAGCTACTGAATACTCAAGCAGTAAACAGTTTTATATCGGAAAATTCAGTCCAGAAGGTCATGTTAGGTCCTGTTAGGATTACCGGGGAAATCCAGAACCATCCCTCGAGTAACTATCCCCTCCACAGAGAAAATATTCGTTTGATAAAGATTGTGTAATATAGGGTGGAATTTGGCAAAGTGTGATCGAACGCTAGGGGTTTTTCCAAAGTCACGTTAGACCACTTTTATCTAAAACATCTTCGGTTCGAGACGGACCGGTTGACTCCGCCTTGTATTCTTCGCGTCACAATGATTAAATTCTAAGGAATTTCCTAGAAGACACTTACATACGTCTTTTAGTATGGCTTTTTATTGTGCAGGAGCTCCATGGTGAAGTTCGGGCTTCAAAACCTGTCCGGATAAAATTTACTCCCTTTTATGTGAATCGATAAATCAAAGCGTCGGATGGGTTAGTCGTTGAAAACGTTATTAATGCCATTCGAAAATACATAGAATTCTTGGCAATTTAGGATCAGTTGTCGTACGGAACCTCTGATCTATGGATTGTCGGTTGATTCCTTGAACAGGTCAAACGCTATCCAAGGCTGATGGGTTACTTCACATCATAAGGATGCGTGGTGAAGTGACGGGAAAGCTCACTTACTTCGTTTATCAGGGAATGAAAATAAACACTCCATTCCTACAATGGAACTAATGTTATCTGTAGATTTTTAGCATGTAATTATCATAGCGTTTGCATAAAGACAACTGAGCAAAGATGAGCTTGGATGGATAAATTCAAGACAAAATAACATATGATAACTTCAGTGAACGAGTACACGTCATGCTCACTGAGTAGTGATGCCTGTCTGTCAGGATTCACCTAAGAGCACCATCTAAAACCAGCGTAAGGGACATTCGTGACACTTTTTTGTAACTTGTTTCTTAGGTCAGTTCATTTCCAAATATTTTTCAGGGTCGATCATATAGAACGAGAAGCTAGTTTTCAATTTGGTCCTGGATACCGAAGGACTGACTTTTGTTCAAGCGCTTTAGCTAATTCGTGGGAATTAATTTCTGTCGTCCAGAGTGTGAAGCTCTCATCCCTGACGACCAGTTAGGTTTTTGTATTGCGTTTGACCGGACGAGAACATGTAAATAAAACAAACATTTTTCTCTAGTAGGAATGCTCATGATTTCGTCGCTTTCAGACGATACCTTTTTATGACAGTATATTGGTGGTTGTGATAAACAGCTCGTGGAAGGTCAGTGGGCCAGGCGCTAAATTACTTAGGAAAGTTCGTGATTTGAACGCAACTCAAGCATCTTGATTGGTCCTGTCTAGACTTGGGTATCTCATCCCTTGTGCTTCCTTCGGGTGACACGGCAGCTAGACATGAAAATGGTTACAGCGGAAAGACTACTTATCATTATTATGGTATTGTTGGCATTGCGGTGCCATAGACCACTGAGAGTCACAGTCTGATCGAAGAGAAAAACTCATCTGGAACTTTAGCTAGTCGGGGATAGCTATGTCATTACTCCTAGCCATTCGTGATGTTCTTGAAGTATCTCGTAAACACCGAGACAATACGACCAGGAATTGAAGAAAAATACGAGTATTCGGTACTGATCGAATTCAACCTGTGGATCATTAATTCATCCCTTAGATGTTCCTGTTTAAGCAATCCTAACAGCTTTCCAAAAGTCCATTGTAGCATAGGCTGACCAGTCGTCGTAATCTGGCCACGTTGTTTTCTTTGTACACATAGTAGGTCAAAAAACCATAGTCGACTGAAAACTGCGTTATCATCCCCGTTTTATCCACACCCGATTAGTTTGTCCCAAACCAAAAGTTCACATCCGCGCATGTGATCGAAATCTGAATTCTCCGATGAAAGGTTGGATTCTCAAAGCTGTCGACACCTACCACGTTCAAAAGTGTCAGTGCATGCGAAAGAGGAGACTAATTAAAAAGCCATGCGGTAAGTATTCATCGTTGTTTGTGTCCTTTAACAATTTAAACAGACAAGATTCGGGGACAAAGATTGCCTGTGTTCGCTATGAGGGTGAAGTCTTTCTACGAGATCCTATTTTACTGGTAGTGCGGATCGAGTTATTCTTGAGAATAGTTTTTCTTTAAAAGAAGACGTGGTCAGACGAGGATGAGTAAACTATTACCTCATTGTTTTGGTTGTTGTATAAATTCTATGGTCATTCTTGGAGATGAACGTCTCAGCACGAGGACACCCAGGAATTCGGTTCTACGTGTCAGTGAGTGGTGAGCCACCAGAACTTACGACCTTGAAAAAACCCTGTGGACAGGTTGAAGCAAGCAGACACTCAGTGCTTGGTGGACCATTAGATTCTCAGTGGGCATTTGAATGGTTCGAGATGGCTCAAGTGGTTAGATTGCGAATTTACTGACCGGAAGAACCGTGGTTCACCTCCGCCTCTCGACTTCCCCTGTCTAGGCTTGGGTACCTGGCAGTATCCCAGCCATCGTGCTTCCTTCGGGTTATCCATTACTGACTGTAAGTGAAAAATGGATCTGGTCTGGTTTTCGGTTTATTCGCTGATCTTGTCGTTTGAATTGCGAGCGTTTCGTCGCCAATCGAGTCGACATCGTCAGTGCGGGTTTGGGCGGATAACGTCCTCCTCTTCTGTCTCTACTCATATTATATATATATATATATATATATATTATGGCTCCAACGTGATTGGTTGCTCCCGAGCGGGCGTTCGCTTAATTTGGCTGCTCAGCTTGGAATCTGGGTTACGTTGTGATTCCATTTCCTTTTATCTGATTGGTTCCTTCAATTGGATACCTTCAATTCGACAGTTCTGTTTCGATTGGGTAAGACGTGTTGGAGACATTGTGCACCGGCTGTAAGGCGGTTAACATTTTGACTAATTCAAAGGATCCAAATGGCCGTTTCTGGCTGTCAAAACCAAGCTATTTTGTCAGATGCACACAAATTTGGACACAGAAGCATCAGCGGAATCTTTAGTTTATGATATTGTGTTACCTCTAGACAAGCTATTTTGCCTTTTCGTTCTGTTATGGTGCATCCGCCGAAGGACTCCTGTTTCTGACACTTATTTGGTCCATCTGATATCAGATATCCCTCTCAGACATTGGGGCTGGAAGGCGCTCAACTATCTGCTGTTCTATTGGTACATGGTCTGCGAAAAATCTGCTTTTTCGATGTGGAAACTTCAGATTGTTAGGCCTATAACGCTGTGAGCAGCGTTGTATGAACAGAGTGGCTAGCCACGTAAATCCGCTTCGGGTGTTCTATGATTTAGTAGGTGCCACCATGCCAACCAGTACATATATTCTTGATCCCAACTTTCCATTTTTCTCCAAAGGATTCGACAATTATGGAGCCGTCATTTGAGCACACTGGTAATTTCAAGATCATCTCCATCTTGTTTTTTGGGTTTAATTCGAACATAAGACGTTCAATAATTTGCACGTGTGGCTTGACGCGAATCGCGTGTGACATCGTCTATTGTGCACGGAGATCAGTCGGTGTAGATCGATGGAACGAAAGGAAATTCGAAAAGGATATCAACCGTGCGTGCGCAGCTTTGGTTCTGAGTGAATCTTTCACTTGAATCCAAATCGAGCTATTCTAACTTGTCCTTCTAGAATCGGGTTGTTGTACTGTTGTCAGCCATCCACAGTCCAGAAGCTAGACTATTCCTAGCGTATTTTACTAAACAATAAAGGAGTTCAGTATGCATCAGATCTTCTTGGGTGACGGCGGAATTCTGCCTAGATGTTTGGCGTCCATCCCTAGTTGGAAACACCTTTCACGCGACTGTACTATCGCGTCAATGAGAATCAAAAGCAAATTCCTGACAATCAACCGGTGTGCTTCGTCCTATTCATGAATACCGTTACAACATCTTTACTTTCCAAAAAACTTGTCGCACAATGTTACATGCATTTACTGACTTCTTAGACTTGAACGCTACGTTTGACTTTGTCGAATGTGCTACGTTGTGAAAAATATCTTCTTTTTAAATATCTCCCTGACATATTCATTAGATCAATTCTAATCCCATAGCCACGAGTGCGTGAGTTAGTAGATTACATTCTTCTGAGTTCATTATCGAAACCGGTATTTGTCAGTGCGGCTCTCTAAATGATCCTTCTTAGCCAGCTTCCCAGTCAGAATAACTATCCAGGTGACCCCATTCAGTGTTCGATACTCTTCTGTGAGTATGCAAATGGCACCACGTTGCTTGCTTGAGAGGTGATCCTAAATATACGAAATCAAGTAGGCCGTCAAAATGCCATACACTTCGGACCTGCAAGGTGGAAAGTGCTTTTGCAAGACTGGATGGTCATAGCATCAGGAAAATCGAATAGACTTCCTTTTTTGGATGGTTGCATCATGTCAAACGGTAATATTCCTTTAAAAGTGAACGCTACAACAGCCACAGTCCGTTGTGTTTTCTTCCTACGAAGGCCTCTTCATCAAAAGCGTGGTCTAAAATTCGACAGTGCTGCTTCAAGGTTGTAAAGCCTGACCACTGGAAGAAAAACGTTCCACTTGTGCTTGTTCATCACTGCCTTCGAAGCAATGCACTTGTATATAGTTTGGTAATTTCGAGGCAAGGGTGCATGCCGTCTGCGAGGTGTTAGGGTGACAGTGACTGACAGTATTAACCAATGGTGACATTCACCGGTACGAAGATATCACTGATTCTATCCTATCAGCTCTTTTGTTCTAAGTCATTAGTACGCTACTGAACCATGTTTTTTTGTTTTCTATACTCACGATCACACTGCATCCCTCCATTACGTGCTGCCTAAGTATCTTTTTGTTTCTTGGTTGTCAGAGTGAACTGAATCCAAAAATCTTGACAGAAAAGCCTTTACTTATTCCCGGTATCTTCTATTTGCAGTGGTGTCCGATGTACCGAACTTGGGGTTAGATAAGCCACCTGGCGTGAAATCTGTAGAGTCTGAACCCTTCTCTATGTTCCTTATGATCTTTTACGCTTTGCAATTAAGTCACACAAACTGATCCTTGTTCTTTTAGACTGTGACCTGATTCACCCGCCCCGACATGCTCGTCGATGTGAGGAACCGGCCATTCTCCACATTAAATCTCTATTTTGGACTCCGTCTGAGGGAAAATGCATTCCCGGGTTTGCGATCTACACGAAGCATATCAGTAAGTACAACAAAACTGTCTTAGAGAACACATTTTTTGTGATAATGGGTTTTGGTAAGCTTCTGTCTGTGTGCAATCGCCGTCTGGTTTTTGTTGGAATCTCTGAAGGGCAGGATAGCTGGGACAACCCAGTAACCTTTCAGCCTTGTTAGTATCCAGGCGGACCATTTTTAGCAATGACGGCAGGTCATTGCGTACAGCATAGAAGAAAGCATCAGGCACTCCAAATAACTTCAAATAACTTTCGGTAGTTTGAGGACATTTGGGAATCTTCAGCTGAGATTTTGTCCTGTCAGTCTATGCTAAAAAGCTCAGAAAAATTGTACTGCTGTTTCATCATTCCTGGTAATCATCAAAAGTGTGCATCTCACGAGTGTGTGAATCATATTGTTGGCCAGACGCTCATGGTCGAACGCCTAAGTGTTCAAACTACTAGTCGGTAGATTGCGGGTTCCAAACGTCCTGGAGTTTTGTGGAATGCACATCGCTGCTGATCTCCAATAAGGATGAAACAGCTACACAATGCTTCTCGGCTTTCAGCATAGAAGAACTTCACTTACAGCAGAAAATCTCACATTAAAACTCCATATAATGTTTTACATTGGGTACCAAGCGAAGAAAAGTGCTAAAATATTATGGTAATCAAGATCCAGTTGGCTTCAGCCTTCAATTCCAACAGTGATCTTTTCATAGTCGCTCACCATTTCTGCTGGTTAGCTTTCAATAAGCAAAACCCCACTGAGCTCGAGATAACTCAGTGGTTGAGGTGCGAACTGATGGTTCGAACCCACCATAGGCCTCCTGACTGCTCCTGTCTAGGTTTGAGTAACCTGGCAGTATATCGGTCCACGTGTTTCCTTCAGGTGACGTGGCTGAACCGTCATTATCATTGGTATTATGAGTACAGTAAGTACAGTAAGTAAGTGCCACTTTCAGCGAGCAGTATGGAAGGAAAATGCATGTTGCGAACTGAAACTGTGGCCATTTTGAATTCGATTTTTTAAGGGTAGATTCTTTTCCAGGCTGATTATTTTGCATTCATAAAATAAGGTCGAAACAAGACAACTTGCTGACATTTTTATGACAGCTGAAGAAACTGTGTACATCGTCTAGTAAGGTCACTTGTGCTAATCGATGTCTGATTCAGTAAGCTCAATTCTCGAGTGTATCCTATTTTGACAGGAAAGTGTTCATAGCGATAACCGGAAGCCCATCTTCTGTTTTTTTCTCTTCAAAGAATGTCCACCAGAGCGAAAACTTCGTCTTGGTCCTTGTGTCCAAGGTACGGACGGGATTGGTCGGCGGCTGGTCGAACAAATTGAACAACGTGTGGAGCACTGTGAATGTGTTTGGAAGGTAATGGCTACACAACACCGGATATGCAGTGAGTTGTTAATTGGTTTTGCGCCACTTTTCCCTATTTGAGATCCATGTTCACTTGTGATCCAGGCGTGAGTCAATGAACAGCTCAGATCTGTGGATCACTTGGTGGAAATCCCAATGTATAATATCATCACAGTCCGCATCGAGGGCAGTTTGAGTGTATGATTTCACGAGTGTTCTCGTTTCTCTTACAACACATCGGCGATAGCGGTCCTCCAAGTGGTCGTAGACAGGGGTGGACAGAATCAACATCGACGTGAGCGTCTACGTGACTGCGCGTCAGTGATCCCATTTTGTGATGGGAGAGAGACCGCCATATCCCTCATAGAGTGGTCATTTTTTGGTCCAAACTTGGAAAATCTAACTCTCCGACTGAAAGGTTTGCAGGTACATCACCAGACAGGGATGCGGCTTGGTGATGTGCAAAAATATTCGGTTTTGGAGAACGGCTACCTTGCATGTATAGTTAAGTTTTGGAACTCTTCTTGCTGTGAATAGAATACACTGGTCCCCTGGATGAGGACCACACATGGAGGACGGGAATACCGACATTTGTCTTGAGGTTCTGAGGAGAAGAGTCTTCCAGAAACTTCTATTTGCCTTTCCTTTTGACTACTCATCTCATGCTACCAAATGAATATGCATCGTTCACTCGCATTAAATGTATAATTAGTTGGGTCGCTGCCAGAGGGTCCTCGGATCATTTACGTGCACTTGCAGGGATTGCTTTTTTCACAAGTACTTTGTCAAAAACCGGTGGAAAATACTGTTTTTAACGTCCCAATTGATCTGTTGCTTTCAACTTCCTAAGTGCACTTAGCCTTGAACTGCCGTGGAAGAGAAACTAGTATTTTGTAAGATTCAACAAAGGTTTCGTCTTGCGAGTCAAATCAGTCTGTACCGAAGGGCCGAGAAACATCATCAGTAGCGCACATCTGACGAACCTGCATGGAGTTTCGAATTCGCGAATTGCCGGCGAGTGGCTGATCAGCATTGTGATCAATCCATTAAAACAAAATCCACGCGCCGCGATGTAACCGGCTGTTTAAACAGAGATGGTAATCGGCGGTCGGCTTGTTCGCTGAGGTGGATAATTTGATTGCAAACGTTTCTTCACCAATCAACGTGCCGTTATGGAGTGGGCACCAACCACAGCCGCAGCTACTTCGTGGCTGTTTACCACCCATTTCAGTGATAAAATGTGAGGAAATGAGAGTTGCTCCTTTTTAAGAATGCTGTTCATATATGGGGATGCCTTCCATTCGTGTAATATCAAAATGTATACTAAAGATTTGCAACCTGGCACTTACCAATAGTTGCTTTGCACCAGCAATAAATCACACGTGAATTGCCTTGGTTCACTTGACACACCGCTACTTACAAGACTGTTGAAGTCCACTCGACAGGCCACTAGCTGTGTCCAGCTCTCGGGTGTAGTTCCGAATTCCAAACAGTCTTATTTTGCGCTTAGAAACAAAACTGCACGTAACTGAAGAAAAGCATGTTTGTAACATATTTGTTACATATTTTTCGAGTTCAAGTTCAAACACAGAAGAAGATTGATGAAAATTCGTCAAGTGCGGCTACATAGTGTGCCTCAAAAGGACAACACCTAGAGTGAGCTGTTGTACAACTTTTACCAAGTCATGTGTGTGTCAAGGTAAGTACTTCGATATATTGAATCCCATCCTAGTTGGAAATGAGAACACCTCCATATAGCACGTTCAGCTGAAGAATAGTTTCACTTGAGCCTCCTGTAAAAACCACTTGCCTTATTTTCACTCTCAGAATGTTCACCACCGAAGCATTCCAAGGAGTGTGTGGACGGTGGAAAAGCTATTTTGCGAACGTTGATTGCTCACACTTTGAAGGATGACATGTGCGCACCCATCCAGCGACAGATCAAAGAAAACCCGTGTGAGCGGCAAGAGCTGCCCCCCATTCCTCCGGATCAGACGGGTCGATGTAATCCGCTAACCTGCTCGACGGAACGAATCCATCATCAAAGGGTCTCCGTCAATTGCAACTGCATCACTCAGCGGTAGGTTCATCCGTCTTACAATTAGAATGACTAACTTGTGAATGAAACAAAACTCAAAGTGATTCTCTCTCATCATGTTTACAGAATACGAAATTTCCAAGTTGTTTTTAAGTTGTGTGGAGGAATATTGTGTCGATTTGTAAAAAAACTTCTTGTCCGAGAATTTTCAATCAAGTGAAAATTCTATCTGTTTCAGTGTCACAATCAAAGAAGCCTGCTGTTGCCCGCGACCGTCCAAACCAGTTCTACGCTGCCATAATTCACGAAATGTCATGTTACATCAACAAACATTTTACCAATTCAAACCAGCTATGGGCGAACAGCGAGCTCATTGTCTTCCCGTGATGCATGTGAAATCGATCGCTATAAACTGTGGACCGAGATTACAACGTATTCTGGTGAAAAAATGCGATGGCGAATTCCACCGAGTTATAATCATTCGTACGGTGGTTGAGAATTGTTTGTGCAAGCAACGTCCTACCAAAGAGCTACGGATAAGATGTGGTAAGTTTTTCGCTCACTAGTAAACAGAGATGGTAGATTGCTTTCTTCCCTAGTGCACACGGCAGTCTTGGTGCGCTGATGTATTCTGTTGTTTCCATTGAAAGTATGGCGAGGTAAACTATACGGGACAGTCATTACCAGATAGGCCCGTTCGAATCGTGGCCACTCTTCGGAAGAGTCTAGAACACTGCCTCTATCGGTCTAGTATGTGATCTCTTTGTCGGAAGCCCACACCTGTGTGACAGGGTAAATAACTCATTTTCTCGAGTGGTGCTCTTTCTTGAAAGAGTTACTGTATCTTATTCAGTTGGAACGCCAGTAAAATCTGTAATTTCAAGAGTTAACCTCAATTGCTCTTCCTCCCACACCTCTATTTGACCCAGGTTGTCCTCGTGTCATTCGACGCCTTCCGGGGGCTTGTATCAACCAGTGGGCAAATGACAGATGGATTGGATTCCAAGCAGTGGTGGTCAAACGCAGCAATTTATTGAAAGTGAACCGAGTAAAGTGCAAACCAGTCATATTTGAGCAAAAGCAGAGACGATGTGCCTGCCCGGAACCCACGGAAACGGTGGAGTGTGAAGGAGGCAAACTGCGGGTTAAATACCGAACCATATACAAGTTGAACGAAGAATTGAACAACTGTGAAAAACATGTCTTCAGAAAGGAAGATAATCCAGGTAAATTTTCCATGAAAGAGCTGAAGTAAATTTTATACGTTCACATTTGAAATTGAGAGGAACCGTCTACCTGAATGAAGTAGGTAAGACAAGCAAAATCACAAACATTGCAAGGCAATGATTCGGTTTTTGACAAGAGGTGAAAGGCTATTCATGTGGATAAAAATCGCTCTCCACAGCTTATAGGGTGACCATTTGTGCAGTAGTAGATAAGCAAATTCTTCTTTTAATCTACCAGTGGATACTACTGATGGGGGCATGCGAGTAGTATGTTTTCTCGTAAATTCACTTCGCGTCTCTTGAAAAGTGAGATCTATTAGGGAATTCGTGGAGTCGCATTTGCTCGCATTTGAGCAAAAGTCAACGAATATCCAGGAAAATTCATGAAGACGCGTTCAAGGAGAAGATGGATGTTTAGTTTTTGTAAACAAGATGCATATGAGAGTTTTGCTTCCCTGTCCAGTAGTCTGTAACTGTTCAGTTGGTAGCAGAAGCCTTCTTCGTTTCACTAGTACAAAGCTTTGGGAATTTAGAACCCCTCCCTCAGTGTATCTGTCCGATGGCCTCCCTAACTCATGACTTGGTACGTGTAGTGCCCTTTACGAGGACTGATGAATCATCATTAGACAATGCTAAATGGTCAACGGTAGCTAACAGGTTGTTTGGCCAAGTTATCCAGCCGCACAAACTGAGTATCCGGACTAAGAACCGGAGAGTAACACCATGAGTTTGTCCTATGGACCTGCACCCACTTGAGGTGTTCGAATAAGGGTGAAAATGCCCAGTAGCGGAGCTTTCAAGGATCGGAGGACGCATTTGCTAGGATCTCTTTTTCGCTATTTTTTGGGAGCCACAATGTTTGCTTTACGTGTGGCTGATTGATGAGAAGTGCTCAGGCTCCGCACACGCATAAGTCGTGGAATAATGGACACAAACAAGACAGCCAGATGCAAATGTGTGACAATATTTTAACCCTTAAACCTACAGAATCCGTGCGATTGTGTCCTTGTCCTTTACTTCAGTTTCATAATTACATCGTGGTAGTAGTTGGAAGCATTAAACTCAAACCAAGTGGTTTTGAAAGGTAACGCATGCATCTTTATTTCACAGAAAAAGTGTGTACCGTTTTATGTAGAATAAAGCCACCTTGTACAACAGTAAGCTTGTGCTGGAACCAGGCGGACGACGCAAGTTCGATCAATCAAAGTGGTGACCGAAAGATTTCTGATCACGGGTTCTCGTTATGCTTGTAGTTTGTCCTCCAACTAAAGTCGTACAAAGTCAATGTGGACCAGAGTCAAACTATGAACGGACGGAGATAACCCGTGCGTACGCTTTGGAAAACTGCGAATGCACACCCCGTCTGACAAAGGTCAAGTGGATTTGCGACTGTTCCGCCAGGTTCCCTGTACAACGTCTGGTTCATTGTCTTCCGTTGGGAACACAGAGGCTTGTTGAGATCAGACGATGGATTCAGACGGGCCGCGAATGCAAGCCACTTGTTGAAAAAAGAATAGAACCAGTTGGTGAGTTACAGGGGGGGGGCTACTTTTTGACTGTTTTATTCACATCCTGACTAAGGGAATCGCACTCCTGGGTGGACGTATGGTTTTCATGAACAAATAACAGAGACTCTGGTGATCCTACAAAAGTCCACTTCTAGAAGCGGTTAATCCTACGTGATTTCGACCTCACAAGTGCAAGGACTTAAAGTTGTCCGGTGAATTGGGAAATGTGGAAGTTTGTCGAATCGATGCAAATAAGCTCAAAAGCAACTCAAATGGTAGAGCCTTCTTTCCACAAGACCAATAAATTTTTTGCCACTTACGGATCTGTGGTCCTGTACGTGAGATTCCATTCGGTCTACCAAGCAAACGTGTACCGGTTCTGTCACTGGTTAACAGCACATCGAAAATTTACCGACATGTTTCACAGGGAAGCCATAACGTGTGAAAAATTACGCGTTCCAATCTGATCTATCAATAGGCTCTAGAACTTGTTAGGTTATGGGGTACCTGCAGCTTGGTTTTCAACTAATTATAAATGGGAGAGGCTGATAGCAAACCTTTTTAGCCACTGGAACACGTTGTTGTTGTTCTGGGCGGGCTGTTCTCCCATAGTTGATCAGGCTAACAGGTTATTCGTTCACTTAGAGGGGTAAAATGCTACTGAGTGTATCTCGGATTCAACCTGATACATACATGGCCTGCCGGTGCGTGGTCAGCCCAAGCACTGACTTAGGAATAAATGGTTGGCACGGGTAAAAGGCGAAGGACTTGTACGGTGGAACGCCTTGGCAACCAGCGAGGTATTCGCCTTTCGTGACTTGCAGCGATTTGGTTTTGGGGAAGTTTGAAATATCATAAATCGCTTGCACTGTGTACAGAAGACTTCTATTCTATACACAGGATTCATGTGGTCATTAGTCCGTCGAAATTGCTTGGCTTTTAACCTCTTAACTCTGTCCCTAATTGTCAACACCCCAAAGATGTTTGGTTCATGAGTGTCACTCGTTTCAAAGCTGTAAAGGCAGCGGGATAAATTGGAACAACTACAGTTGGTTCATTTGATCAAGGGGTGGTCGCTCTAACGGAGAAATACTGTAATCGCAAGAGGTATAATACACACTTAAAACGCGTTCAATAGCAACACAGTAGACACTTAAAAAAGAGGACAATAGATGTCCATCGTTTTATATCTTGCCCACAAAATGACAAGCATGTCAACTAGCTGACAAAAACAACGGGCAGTTTCTAGAAACTTTACCACAATTCGCCACAAACCAATGACTTACATTTATTTCACAATATGCCCACTAACCTTCTTCAATGAAACCTGATGAAATTTTTCCCTAAAAAAACACTTCAGACGTTTTCGTCTGATGCTTTCGAAAAACTGAACTTTTTGACTGACACAGTGTTTGGGGTACAGCATGGTTTACTTCATTGGCAACCAGATGGATGGTTCAAGTTTCTTTATACCGACACACTACAGAATGTCCCAAACGGTTGCACGTGATCAAAGGCGAATGCGACCGTGAGATACCGAACAGGCGAAAGTTGATTTGGTTGCAACAACGTCCCGTCAATTGTCGCTGCGTTTGGCATCGTCTTATACATCCAAATCCATCGGTTCACCGCATCAAGTCCTCCGTGGCTTGTCGTTGCCGCCCGAAGATAACAGTGCGGCAGTGCCGTCCGCCAGTCTACGGGCAGCTTGCTCAGATGCGTATGATCACCGTCAACTTTCAGTTGCGTGATGGTGAATGCCGACCTGAAAGTCGAGTTGATTTGCATCCGGTCGATTGTAAGAATGGAGTTCGACTGATAAAGTGAGCGCCTAAATTAGAATGAATTGCATAATAAATCACTCAATTTCTAGTGTATTTTTCTAGTTCGTGAACATGGATAAAGTTGTTCATTTTGGCTGTTTTGTCGCGTGGCCTTCTCATTGTTCTGACCACTTGGATTGTCCCAGAGTGTTTCCGTTCAACTGTTGAGCTCAAATACCGGTTTACAACGCTGACCGATCACAGTGTCTTTTTATCAGGCCATACAGATGACAGCTCGAAAAAAGGCGAAATTTCGGTCGGATTTTTCCAGACATAACAGCCAAACAAAAGCTCAAAAGCCCTCTAGATTCTATGTACGGACGGAGTTTAATGTAAATCCATCGTTGGCCAGCGGTCAGAATCATCGAGCTGACATCACTTTGAAGGAAAGTTACGTGAAGGCAGTGTGAAACCCTGAGTGGTGTCAACCACATAATCTGTCTAGAATGACGTGATCGGAACTCCAAATTACGTCGATAAGAAACCAAGTGGGCACAACAGAACCCAGGAGATTAACACACTATCTTATTTCTAAATTTACGAAAAACTGGAAGAATATGTATACTATAGCACTTTTGTCTTTAATGGCACACCCAAAGAAGAGCGTGGAAACAACTTTGAACCTATGCTCACTGGTTGATTCCTCCTGGTCTCCTGATCAATACCTGAGTAACCAAGTGGTCTGCTTCAACAACTTATGTGAACACAGTCGGGATTGGTGTCACCTTACCCGCAGAGCTCGATTCATTACTAGAACCGTTGGGGTTGTGTTGCTGGAAAAGATTTCCCTGGGTCTGATAAATGATGCAGGACTCTTTAAGTAGAAGGAATTTCTTTGATGTGTTTGCGAATAATTGTATCCAAAGTCGATAAGCATCCAACTGATGGGCACCCAGAGTGCGATCGTTGGAATTAGAAGTGTTTAAAAGCGGGTGAAAATGTAATCAACGGAACTTCCATAGAACAAATCTTTTGCATACATATTGAATATCTTTCCTCGTATCCGGTATGTAGTAAGGTCGGACGTAAATTAAGCGTCCGATATCTCTGACTCCATAGACGCATTTGAGTGGCTTATCATCTCAATATAAATAGAATATCGTGCCAAGTGAATCGTGAGGCGGCCCGTGTGCAGCACATTCAGTTGTAGAATATCATAAACGAGAGATTCAGTTGAGTCTCTTGTGAAAACCAAACTGATTTGCAAATGAGTGTATTTCTCGAAAACAGTTCAAGTTGGGTTCAAGTAGGACATAAGGGTGACGTAAACTCGGGGACTGCGCCTACCTGATGAGCCTCAACAAGGACGAAATTGGTCGTGGGCTGTCGAAGAGTTTTCAGCAACCTTGTGAGTAGCCTCCTTTATAAATAGCTTTTTGACTGAACTTTTTTTTCAAACATTCTCGTACTACCCACAAGTAGTATATAATTGAAAATCAGTTGAGACCATTTTGAAACCAATTGGAGGTCATTCGCAAGACGCATTTTCGTGAATGCAAACGCAAGCCTGAACCGGGAAACCCTCGATAGTGGCTAGCTACCGAAATTCGGCCTAGAGTAGTGTGACTGACTTGCATAAATTAACGTAGGAAATTTGCGGATCATTACTTGGAGATGCGATTGCAGCACCATTGTGTTGCTAGTTAGCAAGCATACTTACAACTTTCATACATTCAACTCAGTAAAAGAACTATAAGTCCAAATAAACTTGGAAAGTTAAGTAGAGTGCACTCGAAATTTTGAAGTGCCCCTTTTCCATCCTCCTTTTCCAGTGGTGAATGCGACCCAATGACAAATACCAGGATTGTGAAACGTATTATCAGCCACCTGGAAATGAATGAGTGTCGCTGTGTGACCCGGGAATTCGAAAGACGTTGCCACTGCAACTGTCCTCTGCCTAAGCTCTACCTCCATTGTCAACGTCAACAGGGACTAGTAAGACATATCAAAATCGTGCACTTCCTGGCAGAAGACAGGTGTTTGTGCAAAGCGAAACGTGCGATTCGCACTTCCAAAGTTGTCTGCCCAATAAAGAAGAGGCTGATACAGAAGGGACCTTGTCAGCACATCCCAGGGAAGTCGATGGATTCAACTGACAAGTACCGCCAAGTTGTTTGGGAGGTCTCTCATCGGGATGGATGCCAATGCGTGACAAAACGGGTTGTGAATTCTGAACCTTGCTGTAAGTTGACTTAGTGTGAGTGTTTGTTTATTCCCTAGCACAGCGTTCTTCCCATCAAAATAAATGAACCAGATGAGATGGGCAAATTTTGAAGCCTTCCGCCCCTTCTGCCAATCGGCACGTCGAAGCCCTTAGGTTTGTCTACATTCTTCGTAAATCACGAATTCACTGAATATTGTGTTGTCCAACGACCGCCCGGATTCGGCGAACTCGATCTAGTCGAAAACAATTATTAGGTGAAACTTTGGCGGGCCAGAGGGGATCAATGAATGTGATTTGAAGGGGGAGGCTTGTAATTCATTCGGACGCGGTGGTTATTCAGTGATCATATCGTTGTCTATTTCAGTCTGCACACCACAACCGATCGTGGAGAAACGATGCATCGATGACCACCTGCTGGAAACGGCTCATTCCGAGCGTCGTCTGTCAGAAGTGGACCACAAATGCATACGCATAATCGTCAACAAGATCGCGAAACCAGTAGGTGAGTTCATTTTGTTATGGCGGCCCAGATTGGATATCCACAGTCCATCTTGATAAGTCAGGTGTGCTGAAGCGGCGTCACTCCTCCGATGAACAATTTACAACTGCAATTTTTACAAATGAGGTTTGATGAGGTGGGCAGCAAAACATACACGTTTTTCTTCATGCAAGCATTATCACTAGCCTTTATGCAATCATACGTCAGACTGACCAGAAGCCCATCTTATTTGCCCTAGAGTTGGGAAAGCCAGAAGTTATTGTTCGATGCAACCCGCACACCGGAATCGAGGAGGTTACTGAACTAAGTCCGTACGTTGTGAATTGCAAACGAAACGTTCGGATAAAAAAGAGTCATCGAAGATGCAGTAAGTTTCAATTAGTAATTGGGTATCTTTGTTCTGGACGTACTTTCTCCATGACGAATGGACTGAATAGCGTGATTAGAGAGTCCCGAAGAATAATTGTGACCAAAATGACGCATCCGATGAAAGATGAAAGACCTTTTTTTTTAGTTCTCTACACTGTTTAAACAAGTTCTCCGTTTGGAAGGGCCTTGCTTTCCCCCAAACTCTACGGGGGGCGGATTCGGTCAGAATAAAGTTGTCATTAGTGCGTGGAATTTCATTATTCTCCCCTCCAAGAAATTGTGCTCATCAATATGTTGTTAGTATTTGAGGTAAAATACAGCTCGTAATCAGTTATCAGTGAAATGGTCTGGGTCTAATAGTACAAAATCCGGGTAGAGTTAGATCCACCCCCCACCCCATCACCGAACCGATTGTCCCGACACCCTTTGACAAACACAGGTGAACGAATTCTGTGAACGACCCCAAGAGGAATTTTCTATTAAGGTGTCCTAGACTGAAAAAGCAAAGACGAAAAATCCGAGTCCAATATGAGAACAAATCCTCCCCCCTAACCAATCTATCGTAAATGTTAGTCATCCCCACTAACCAACAAACAGTGACATCAGACTGAACACCCAGCACTGATCAAGTCGGCCGGTCATAAGAAATCTTGCGGGTTGGTTCCTTGACTGCCTTGAAACCCAATCAGCTTACTTACTTACCCACTTGGCCTGACAAATTTTTTGTGTCAAAAGCGAAACTTTGCTCAGCAATAAATCCACCGATTGCTTACCAAACCTCTCTGAAACGATGAAGCTCGTAATCAGGTTCGAATGACACTATAGTGGGTGAAACTATTAAGTTATTTTCGTTAAAACAACTGTTCCAACACCACTCATCCTCAAAGCAATCTTCTAACTTTTTGTGTAGAACAAAATGGGGAAGGATGGAAGACGGTCTCGAAAGTTCGTTTGCGGGTTGTGCGCGTCCGTGTTTGGATGCACGTGATCTCACACGTAGGTGTGATAAATCATGCATCACTTCCTATTTTCTGGGAGCATTCAAGCTTGAAATGATGTTTGTTTACCATGATGATGAAACCAAGTTCTCGATGGCGCTCAAAACCATGACACATTCGATGTGTGTTGGTCGCTATGCCGTATGAGCTTTGAACATACTGGAAGTAGTATTTGTACGCACCCAACTGCCATTGTGGTTGGTAGCAGTAGCCCACTTCGGTTAAATAACAAGACGTTCAAGACGTAATACGCTACTCATAAAGTTGCTGAAAACTCTTCGAAAGCCGACGACTAGTTTTGCCCTTCTTGGGGCTCATCAGGTAGACGCAGTCCCCAAGTTTCCGTCAGCATTGTGTTCTACCTGAACCCAAATTACACAGATGGGTTCCAGGTGAGTCTCCCAGAAAAACCAAATTGGTTTGCAGATGAGCGTATTTTGCTAACAAGACGTTCTCTTTCCGTCTCTCACCACACAGAGTGTAAAGTGCAGGCACAACTAATTCACCGTGAGCAGTGTGATTCAACATGCCAACAACGTCTGGTATGGAGACGTGAAGTTCGGGGAGAAGATGGAAACTGTCGGCTGCAACACCGTTTGGAGAGACGCGCGTGCTGTTGTCCGCAGCCGCGACAACTAGAACCACGTTGCAATGCTGCCAAGGGTCTGCTGGAAGTTGGATTTCGTACTTTCACGCTCCATGAGGGAGTGTGTGTTCCAAAGGATCAGTTTACGAACAAGGCAGTCGGTGAGTTGATGGATTGGCGTCTATATCACCGCGAAACCTCCAGCGCTGATGGTAACATCACTCTTTTTTTACTGAAGGTGGTAAACAGCCCCTTGTGCCTTGACAGCCGCTATGTTTTGCATCTTTCTGTCTCTGTCCAAACAGCTTGTGAACCGAACGAGCAAGTTACCCAACATCCACAAGCGAATGGATTTGTGCGCGTGGAGCGACACTTCAATGAATTGGATGGGTGTAACTGTGTGCGCAGGAAAGAAGTCACATTAAATAAATGGAGTGAGTGATATGTCGTGCCCGAAAAACATTCAAATATCTTTCAAATGAGTTCATATAAACAACCTTCAGTTTGTCCTCTGTCTGGGCGGAACAGGTGTAAATCCAGAAAAATGCACGAAGCGGTTGGAGCTGCTGATCTTCTGTGATTAGTTATTCAGGTAAAAGGACAATTTAGTTATTGAGAAATACATTCATTTCCAAATCAGTTTGGTTTTCACGAGAGACACAACTGAATCTCTCGTTTATGATATTCTACGACTGAATGTTGTGCCACAGGCCGCCTCATGATTCAGTTGGCACGATATTCGAGATATCGCAGTATATTTTCATAAAGGAAACTACTCATAAGGTTGCTGAAAACTCCTCGTCGAAGAGTAGTTTCCTTCAGGACAATTTAGTCATTTCGCTTCTATGATTCCTGCGGGAAGCTCAAGCTTTGTTCGTCCACTTTGTGTGCATATGAGTTAAGCGGAACCAATCAGATGCAATCGGGCAAAAATACATGTTTAGGCCTCTCGTCTACTGTGAACTTTGCACCAGTGTGAAAACAGGACAGACCGCTGAAACTACCAAACGGATGATAGGAGACAGGAAGCTACCTCTCGATGACCATGGCCAAATCTTGCTCAGTGAAACGAACTCGAGAAGAAATAAAACTTTGAGCTGTCATTCGGACAGTGAGTACTGGGCAAAGTTGTGCTCTACTCACCGCAGTGTTATTCAAGCTATCGAGTATGAGCAGACAGCGCTTGATCTGGATGTCACAGCTGATTCCTGTGAATATTTCGTTCCGATGAGCAGACATTAAGACAGAAACAGCGACGACTTAGCGTCACGTGGGCTGCATGATTCTCGTAACTTGCCAGCAAGTTTTGGCAATCTAGATTTTCGCTGAATAATATTTCGAGGCCCTTCAGATGCCATCAAAAGCCTGTTAGGCCTGTATCGCCTAAGAGAACTGAATGGAATGGTGCACTATGAACGTGAGGAAGCTTACGTTGGTTGAGGAGAGCGAGACGATTCCCTCTTTGTATGGGCCGTATCCGCACGGACCATAAGACGACTATTCTGTTGACGGTTTTTGCCGGTATTTCGAGCCCTACCTGGATCTCATTTGCCAATAAACTACTTTGTGTCAGAATAACAAAACGGTGATTTTGAGAAACTCTATGGCATACTGACTGTCCTTTCTAATAGGGTGGTTATCGTTGGACGGAGTAGTGGAATGGTCCACTGAGTCAAACCTGGGAATGTGCTGATGTGAGGCTATCACGAGGAGTAGTCACCACCTGAATTCAACTTAACCGCACCCAACTTCCCCGAAATAAATTATCGCAGCATTCACAAGCCCACGAAGACCAACGAACTCTACCAGTGGCACCCGCGGTGAATCATCGTTTGAAGTAACCTGAATCGGAAGAGTAAGGAACCAAACCCGATCGGAACTAATTTGAAACTCCCCCAACCCATCAACGCAGAATTTTGGCAAACACACCAATCGCTAAGAGCCGTCAGTTGACACTCAACACTGATCTACTTCACTAACATAAAGACGTCTTACCGATTGGTTCTCTGTCTGCCTTAAAACTTGGCCAACTTGGTGACCTGCTCACTTTGCCTGGTGAAGCTTTTGTGTCAAAAGCGAAACGTTGCCCAAACAGAAAATCTACCGATTGTTTACCAAGTCCTTCTGAAGCGATACATCTGGGGATGTTTCAGACAACAGTGTTGACTAATTTGGTGGCCTATGTGTCCAAATGTCACGAGTTCCATCGATTGTAAATCGACTTGTGTGAGGAGGAGACTGGGACGACCGCTTGGTTTACTATCAGCCTTTACTGCATGCAAGATCAAATTGATGTTCGGAACATACTAAACTTTGCCCAGCAAGTAACTATAAGTCAGTTAGGAACGAAATGTAGATCACCGGTTGACGATCCCGTCGTTTAGTGTAAATTATTTGGATTAACCAAACCTGCTTTTAACCAAACAGCTCTTTCAAGCGGTCTCCCTCCCGTGTTGTTACGACGCAATAGTTTCAGTTTTACCTAATACTGCAGCTGATCAGTTGTGCACATCCAGAAACGTATTGTGTTTTGAGCTCTGGTCATCTGATCGTGCATAGCTGACGTGTTTGCCACTACCGCATCAGTGTACGTTATATGCACGCAAACTGCCGTGTACACGAAGATGAAGGCTACCGTTTCGGAATGTTGATGGTCTAGAAGTGACCCCGCCTCCTCCACATCCGGTATTGTTCCTTCGGGTTTAAAGCAAATTCAGTTCGTCGCACGTGCTATTCAGCACAAGCCGCCTGTGGCACTGCCCATTGTCAGCCGGTGGTCGACCAGCTTGGTTCGATGTGACAGACAAATTCGGCAACGGATGCCGGTTTACCATGAGGAGGTGGATACCTTTGCACATCAGCCTTGCCCGTGATTTGCCAGCTAGTCGAAACGACGACCGTGTTCATTTGATGTGACCCAATTGGTATGCATTCAATGTCTTCAGAGTCAACCAACATTTTACGAACATTTAAGTGGTGGATCTCTGTCAGCGCACATTCGACAAATTCAACGAACAACTTTCTTTAATGAGATATTCTGTCCGCAGCTCCCCACTATCCTCATTGCGGGTCTGTTAAATAGGGAACCGTGATTTTTTAGTCCAGTTCACTTCCACCCTGAGATGTGTTCGAATCATGCTCTCCGAACTCAGTACGCTTTTGGTTTGACAAGCCCTGATTGGAGAAGAAACCGGTCAAGAGCCGAGTTCTCAACAAATCTGAAACAAAGGCCCGATCCCCCTACCTCACTGACCAATTCAGGCACCGAATCAACATTTTGTAGTTCTGGTAATGTCACTTGGTCTCAGAAACGTTTTGCTAAGTTTGCTGCGTTTTAAGACAATGGTGGCTTTTGCTTCAGTTAGATTTATCTTATATTTGCTCCCTGGACCGGTTTGTGATGCCTGGTTGGACAGCAATTTCGAGAAGTAACTTGCAGTTTATGTAGAATAGATGTCTATGTAATTAGTAGCAACTAGTCTCTTCGGTTTCCCGTTTCCAATCCTCTGCAGACTGTCCGGAGCCCATAACAAAGCAGCGGTGCACCAATCCCGAGCCAGGCCTGTACACAATTGAGACTGTATCAACCCGTTGGCATGTGCCCAAAGAGAGTCCAGTGTGTTCTCGCCTGGACACTGTGGTGGACTCTAACCCGATCGACTGCTCAGCAAAGCAACTGGTGCGGGCGAACGCATGCCAGCTGGAACCTCAGAGACATGCTACCGTTAGAGTAGATCATCTATTTACAAGTGTGAATGATGGCTGTCGTTGCGTGCGAAATCCCCCCACACTAAAAGTTCACGTTTGTCAATGTATGAAACCGGAAGATCACGTGATGTGTGACCGGTGAGTGCTTGGCCTTTGTTTTCTGGACACACTATCCGTCATTTAGGAATCAATAGTACAGTGGCAAGTATCTCGACAAATACGCTCATTTGCATATCAACTGAGCTTTCACGTGAGGACTGAATCTATTAACCCGATCGACTGCTCAGCAAAGCAACTGGTGCGGGCGAACGCATGCCAGCTGGAACCTCAGAGACATGCTACCGTTAGAGTAGATCATCTATTTACAAGTGTGAATGATGGCTGTCGTTGCGTGCGAAATCCCCCCACACTAAAAGTTCACGTTTGTCAATGTATGAAACCGGAAGATCACGTGATGTGTGACCGGTGAGTGCTTGGCCTTTGTTTTCTGGACACACTATCCGTCATTTAGGAATCAATAGTACAGTGGCAAGTATCTCGACAAATACGCTCATTTGCATATCAACTGAGCTTTCACGTGAGGCTCAACTGAATCTATCGTTTATGATATTTTTCAACTGAATATCCTGCTCAAAGGCTGCCTCATGTTTCAGTTGGTTTGGTATTCGAGATATCACAGTATGATTTCATAAAGGAGACTACTCACTGAAAGCTCTTCAACAGACCACGACTAGTTTCGCCCTTCTTGGGGCCCATTACCCAAGTTTTCGTCAACTTTATGTTCTGCTTGAACCCAGCTTGAACACATCTCGACAAATGCATTCATTTGATGAGCTGCAACAGGGACCAAACCGATCGTGGTCTGTCGAAAAATTTTCAGTAACGTTGTGAGTAGTTTCCTTCATGAAAATATACAGTGGCAAATACTTTCATAACAGGAACCTGAGCAATCACGAAGTTCGTTTTCAGGCCTATAGAAGGGTGGTTCCGACACTTTCCAAACGAAGGTTGTGCATCAATGTGTGAAATTGAGCTCACCTGGAGGTTGGCCTGAATGCATCCTGAGCGGGAAAAAATCTGAAGTGCAACAGACCAATACGCGAATTCGCTGTGTTCTTGTATTTCGTTCCAAGTACACGCCTAAGGGCTCACTTCCAACGTTCCGATGTCCATAAACACGCTCGGTGCCATTTCATTTTGTTTTAAACTCCGATGTACTCTTCCTAATGCACTACTCACAAGGTTGCTGAAAATTCGTCGACTGAAACATGAGGCGGCCTAGTGCAGCACATTCAGTTGCCTGAGAACATCACAAACGAGAGAATCAGCTGGGTTTTTAGGTGAGTCTTTCTCAAAACCAAATTAGTTTGCAAATGAGTGTATTCCAATGTACCCTGTTTAATGTACTGCAACTGAGTTTAGGGATATAAATGATCAGCTCTTACATTTTCCTAAAACTGTTCATAACTGCCACAGAGGGCTATTAGACTGTATGTATCTCTGAGCTCCATAAAAACTCGATTTGTCCATTTTCTTGACCAAATAAAACAATAAAACGAACTGTCTTTTCGGGATGTACTCAGTTTAGTCTTTCCCCACATACCAAGGTAAAAATTACGGTGTTGTACGTGTTATCGCTTGAAACTTCGATAGAAAACCTCCACTGGAAGACACCTTACATTTTAGGACGTTTTCGACTTTTTCGCTGATTCATGTTCAGAACTTCGATGTTAATCGATTTGCTCAAAAGATAGCTAGACCAAAACGCACTTTTATGAGCTCATACACTGTAGTGTACTGGCCAGAGGTGAAGTTCAGACGTGAAAATTCGGGTGCATCCGGATGCGCTGGTTTATGAGCTCATACACTGTAGTGTACTGGCCAGAGGTGAAGTTCAGACGTGAAAATTCGGGTGCATCCGGCATGCGCTGGTGCCGTAGCGGTAATATGCTCGCCTCCCACGTCAGGTTTTTGGAGTGCAGACCCTTGCACTGCCAAAGATACGCACTGCTGAGAGAAGCCCACCTCTGATGTGCACTTCGGAATGATTGCGCCAGGCCAGAAAGACGACTGTTCAAACGAGTGGTGTGAGTATGAATTCAGCACACTAGTTGCCAACCAGCCCAGTTCTTTCCAGACTAACGCTGACAGGTAGGCACATTAAGGGCTGTCGAGGAGTTTTCAGCAACCTTGTGAGTAGTTTCCTTTACATTAAGGTTTGCTTCTTCGACCGACCGTAGATGATCTGAAATGCGATAATGTGGGTTTGGTAGCGCATGTCATTTGTTCATTTGGTCCAGAATTGTCGTGCGGGGCGTTGTTCATGGGCTTTTTTAAAAGAGGAGAAATCCGTTTACTCTTTGAAGCCAAAAATATGTACAGTCCTTCGGAGCATCAAAGCTTTGCTCTTGGGGATGTCAACGATGAGCTTAGGCTAGCCGATGTTCTCGGCTTTGCCGGTCACTACTTGGGAGGACAAACTATTCGAATGAAAGCATGTTATTCATCAACACGATAAGTTGCAAAACAGCTGTGCCACCTAAGGAGAAGAATGTAAAAATGCAGCTTTTCTGTGGAGGAAAATGTTGGTAGTTCATGTAGCGTAGCTGGTCGTCAGTTTTTTATAAAGGAAAGTACTCGAAAGGTTGCTGAAAACTCTTCGACAGCCCACGACCGGTTTCGCCCTTCATGGGGCTCATCAGGCAGGTGCAGTCCCTGAGTTTCCGTCAACCTTAGGTTCTGCTTGAACCCAAATTGCACTGTTTTCGAGAAGTACACTCATTTGCAAATCAATTTGGTGTTCACGAGAGACTCAACTGAATCTCTCGTTTATGATATTCTAAGACTGAATGTGCTGCACACAGGCCGCCTCATGATTCAGTTGGCACGATATTCGAGATATCGCAGTTAGTTTATTCGGTGAGCTGGCTAATTCGATTGCAAACGCTTCATCAATAATCGAGATGACATCATCGGCGCGTTGTTAGGTAGCGTGGTGGTGCGTAGCAATCGCTACGCGTGCGAGTCCAACAGCGCTTTAGCATAGCGTGAGAGATTACCTCTGAGGTCACTTTTTGTCGTGTTGTTTCAGGGAACGCGGGCTTCTCACGCACATTCACACCAAATATGAATTGTCTGGAGACGGAACACGTTGCATCCCGCACAAAACAAAGCGCATTTGGAGGCCATCCTGCAGACCCACAGCTCCTCGTCATGTACGCACAACACCTTGTGACCCATCCACTGGTTTGATGTATCAAATCTTTGAAGAACTTAGTCAGAAGGATTGCCGATGTGTAAATTTGGAGAAGCGTGTGCCTGTGCGATGTCACTGCGCAAAACCAATTCAAGAATCAAGGTAACCTAGATTCCTAAACCGGTTTTGACACTTTTAATCAGTATTTTCTTTTTTGCTGACCCAATTTTTCGGATTTCATTTTTGGTTTGGTTCGAGATTAGTCGAACCCGAGAAATTCTGAATCAAGTGGACTTTTCTATTATTTTATTTTATTTATTACTTTTATTATTGCCCATAGGTGTCTGAGTCCGCAAATTCGAGAGATCCGTACAACAACTTTCCATCTAACACCGGAGGGGACCTGCGGAAAAACAGTGCTCACACATAAAGAGGAAGTCCGATGCCCGCTGCTACCGCAGTTACTCCAGTCTTCACCCATGTATCGCGTCCAACGTTCCCAAGATAAGCCAAACCTTATACAGCATGTTCACGCCTGTCATTCAGCTGGCCGTTGTTTGTACAAGGTTCGAGAGTTCCTGGTCATCCCGGATCAATCTTGTGCATGTCGTTGGAAACTTAGAGAACTGGTTCGAGCCTGTTGTTGCCCAACACACCCTCAACCGCAACCGTTGAGCAGTCGTTGTGATGCAAGCAAAGGATTGATTGTGTTCCGGAAGGTAGACTGGAACAAACACAACGGGGTCTGCCGACCGAACATACACGAGCGCGTTAAGCATATCGGTATGTCCCTCTTCTTTTCAGTATACCCCACTGCATTTCGATAAAAGTTGGGAAGACGGCAGGTTCATTCTTAACCCGGATCCACCAGAGTCCAGATAAGATGTAGGATCACGCCAAACCTTGTGTTTCTGACCTTTGTGGGCATCAAGGCACGGAAGGATGTTGAGCGCATCATGCTGCTTTGACATCAGCTTAGCCTTGTGTATGTATGTGGATGAGTTTGGCATTTTGGGCGAAATTATGACGAGTGCCACTGAGCAGTGTGAAAAGCAACTGATCCCGTCATTTAGAGTTATGTCTTCAAAGTGGACAATCCATTTGAACATTGTTGGGGAATTCCGCAATGTTACGGTGTACAAGTCATTTAATTCCAGGGGAAAACAAATTAAACTAGAATCGAACAAATTTGTGGAGTCTTCAGGCGTCAAAAGCAACACATCTAGAGGCCGAACCAAATCGTTTTCCAATGGATACTTCGTTCTGTAGGTGATATTAATCTACACCGAAAAACAGCCGAAACTGAGCCTGTCGAACTGATCATGTCGCTGGCCAGCCGCTCGTGGTCGAACGGTTCAGTCTGTAAGTAGTAGCTGGGAGGTTGCAGTTTCGAATCTTCTTGGTATCCAGTGAGACTTTTACTGTTACTGACCCTAAACAGAAGTACAGTACTCCTCCTTTTCTGGTGCAGATTGGTCACACTCACAGAGCACAGTATTCATTAAAGAATTCCCAAATTTCCTCGTAATATCAACAAAACTGAGATGGCCTGTCACACCCAGTTTATCTGAACTGATAAACGTTTTTCCATTTTGGCAGTCTGTGAACATGAAGAAACCATAAAGCCAATTGGACCTTGTCAAGATGGACGTCAGAAGAACTTGATCAGACGGTGGATACGTGTAGGCTGTAAATGCGTTTTGCATCAACAAGTTGTGGTGAAGCTTTGTGGTGAGTCGATAATTATGTTCAACAACAGTTTGCGAAGGTTTTCCTGAGGGAAAATAATTAAATATTTATCGATTAGCCCCTCAAAGTTTTTATCAAACCGATAAACGGTGCTTGTAATTTTAGTTGGCTATTGATTGATGGAATGACCTCAGTGATCCAGTAGTGCAAGTGAAGAAAGATCATTCGTCCAAGCAGTCGTTTATCTTGAAGGGAACTACTACTCACAAGGTTGCTGAACACTGTTGGACAGCCCACGACCGGTTCCCCTCTTTTTGAGACTTATCAGATCGTCAAGCTTCCGGCCTCATTGAACCCAAGTTGTGCGAAATGCTCGAAGTACGCTCATTTGCATATGGATTTAGTTTTCAAAGAAGACTCAACTGAATCCCAGAGATTAACCTGGAATTGAATTGAGTGTTGAGGTTCCCGATGCGGTGAGTTCCGCGTAGGTTTGACGATCCCGAACGTCAAAAGGGAGAGTTGGGTTCGAAACGCTACGGTACCATTTACACACCAGTGAGCGAACTTGGACAACAGACCTCACTTGTCCACATCCATGCCGGCAACAAATGCTCAAGTCAGTGTGGTGTCAAGGTCCGCAGACCAAACAGCGGCGAGCGGAATGTTTGCTCGGTAGTGTAGGTTACGGTCTCGTGATTCTGTTTAGTGGTGCGGCTACACGGAAATCACGACGGAACAAGTTGGGACAGGCTCATCAGACGGGGCACAAACGCGTTTGGGTAAGCAGGCTAGGTGAGCACATTAACACACACACACATGCTGGAGGCCAGTGTAGAACGCGACGGTCTCTGTAGCAAGCTGAGTGGCGGGCACGTGTGAGCAACACAAGTGGAGATCAAAAGTACACGGGTGGAGAAAGCAAATGGTTGGGGCAATTATTACGCGGTCAAGTTGGTTTCAGTAACGACCCTCCCATGAAAACCGAAGTGGTGCGTAAATGGGTTTATTACGCAATATACTGCTCATACGGTTACTGAAAATTCTTCAACATTTACCGGTTGGTTCGCCCTTATTCGTAAATGGGTTTATTACGCAATATACTGCTCATACGGTTACTGAAAATTCTTCAACAGTTCACGACCGGTTTCGCCCTTATTGGGGCTCCTCAGGTAGGCACGGTGTATTTCGCTAGTGTATTACGCGGTTATTAACCTGTTGCTTAATCATATATGACCGCAAGAAAAGAACATAAATTCGTCGTGCACTAATGATTGGTACTGTTGCTTAGCGCTTCCCTTAAAATACGCATATTCTGTTCGAGGCCTCACGCTGAATGGGCTTCTCCAGTCATTCTGCCTTCATTCATGTTCGGTTCTCTGCTGAGTAAGCTGCACAGACCTAGTCTAACGAAAGTGTCTATATTAGCTTCGAATGCAGGTCGCGTAGCTTCGAGTCCAACTAAGGCGATCCTAGGGTTCTGGTTCATCCCCACCATTTAGTGTGCTTTACAAGATAAGAAAACCGTGTTGCAAACAGCCTAGGTGCTGTTGAGTTTGACCTGTGACGGACTTGCGTGTTCGCAGGTTGCTGTTCTTGATGCTATGATATCAATGGTGGAATTCGTCCATGCGATTCACTGAACTGCCGTCTGTCATTCTCAGCGAAGATTGCACACTGGTTGTCTCGCGGGGGAATTCGATTAACACTTATTGTGGTATTTCCTGAATCTGGGTTTACTTTCTCTGGTAACCAAGGTCTATGTCACGCAAGAAGTTGTAATTCATCTGTATGTGTTCTGCTTACTCCCCCGAGGGATCACTGCAGAAAAAAATCGTTTGCCCCTTCTTTTGACAGTAAGTACTGTTGTGAACGCTTATTTGAAGTGAAACTCATTTGACCTTGTCGTGATAAACTCAAATATCCCACTGGTATGTTCCTCTTCTCCGGTTCAGTGTGTCATACTGTCAGTACGGCCGAAGTAGTATTCATGATCGATGGAGCGGCAGCTGGCCGACAGACTCAGTATCTGGAACGTGTCCAACAACTGCTTTTCAAAACGATCGAACAGTTTCTCTTATCACATGAAACCAAATCGCAGTCGAACAGCTTCCGCTTTGCGGTTATGACTTATGCGGATCGACCCGAAATTATTTTTAACCTACAAAACTATGAGGATCCAAACAGGATATTGGAACAAGTGCAGGAGTTGACTTTGCGAGGCGAGCGGGCCAACCTTGCACTGGCCCTCCACACAATGTTACGTGAAGTGAGTCAAAATATTGGTTGATGGTGTCTTTAAAGTGGATGATTCGGCCGACTCCCAATCGGGAAGCTCACGATCAAGCGCTAACAAATAGAAAAGCACCAAGGATAGTGATTGTAAATACGATCTGTCATTTACTAAATACGTTTTCCCCTTAGGGATATATTAGGTCACCTTTTTTTCTGGAATCGGGTCAAATTAAAATTCAGCATAGATAGCAGACAAGAAGCTAAAGTGACGCTCTTTATTTGTGGATCCTGTTGGATCAACCGACTTATGTAGACTGTGTTCATAGAAGTTCAACACCTTCGGACAAGATCTCCGAATGTATGCTTTTTTGCCCCCGGTGTATGTAGTTAAGGTTTCTCCTTTTCGTCGATTCTAACAGATTAGCTTTTGTTCAGCGCCCGGTGCAGTCAAACCAGGAATACGAAAAGAATTTCTATATCAGGATCGATAAAAATTCAGCGGGATATGTGACCTGAAAGTCAGAGTAAACATAATTCATCCACTACTACTTGTGTAAGAGTGATTCGCACTGAGTATTGTCTCTTTGGATGTCTTCTGGTAACAGATAGAACTATCCACGACCACGAGGTTGGCGCACCTTTACTTTAAGCAGGAACAAATCAAACAGACGATTCTTTCGTAATTTTAGTACTTTACTCACTCACTCACTCACTCACTCACTCACTCACTCACTCACTCACTCACTCACTCACTCACTCACTCACTCACTCACTCACTCACTCACTCACTCACTCACTCACTCACTCACTCACTCACTCACTCACTCACTCACTCACTCACTCACTCACTCACTCACTCACTCACTCACTCACTCACTCACTCACTCACTCACTCACTCACTCACTCACTCACTCACTCACTCACTCACTTTACTGACTAACTGCTATTTCAGCTAACCGGCTGCGAAGTAAACTTTTGTCAATCCACATTAATTTTGATAAAAAAAGTCTCACTACATCTATCCGGAACCATGGGACTCAGCGACCTCGTCTTGATGGAATTTCTATCATCCAAATCGATGAAATGAACTTGTTGGTTGTTGATCAGGTGGCATAGCAACTGACTTGCAAACGTTTCGTCACCATACGAGGATACATCATCAGTGCGCCGTTGGGTGGCCGCACAGAGAGCTTACTCGAAAATTTTCCTTCCTCCACCGCGTCACATAATCAATCCTGTTAAGTCGTTGTTAAGATCAATGGCTTTCAAGTCGTACTGTATTCTAACATGGCTCCTTTGTTTGTGGTGCTTAACAGATCGTGACAGGTTAGAAACAGCCTCTTGATTCCCTCAAACTTACTGGATAGTTCATCGCATAAGCTGTACCAATAGGTTCTTTCAAGACTTCTCACAACTGTCACAGACCAAAGAGGATATTATCTGGTCCAACTCACAGGTGCTACCTCTCAAACGACCGGATATACCTGTTCTGCTGTACATTGTAACTGATGGGCGGGATCAAGATGAGGACACCGTCAGACTTATTGGACAAGTACACCGAGCTCAGATCCAGGTTACTGTTGTTGCGATGGGTGCAGAACCGCATGGGATGAACCATTTGGGCGCACTAGTGACACCACCGAAAGCCGTCCATTTGCTGCGAATTTCGAACACAGACAATGTAAACCAGTATTTGACAAGAATATCGGAAACGCTTTGCAGCCGAGGTGAGTGAAGAAATTGGTAAACTTTCATCTGAGAGCTTATCATACTACCTTTCAATTGCTCGTAACTGAACGGTTACGCCTTCGACCAGTGGCCGGATGATTGTGGGTTTGAAATTCTCTGAGTCTTATGAGAGGACACTGCTGATGTTTGGAACAGATATACAGTGCTCTTCGACTCTTCATTTTAGATTGGCTGCACCGACAGAGACGGAATCTCATCTAAAAACTTTCTTAAATGATTATTGAGATCACAGTTGAAGAAAAATGAGTTTGAATGGTCGCAAGGCTGATTTGCTCTTTGCAGTCCTTCTTCGCCAAGCTCCCAATATTTATGTTCCCCATTAGCTTGCGCAGCTATACTTTTCCTCTGAGGTTTTGTGCGATGCTCATGCGACAAACAGGAACATCGGACTGAACATCCAGCACTGATCAAGTCGGCTGGTCATAAAAAATCTCACAGCTTGGTTCCCTAACTGCCTTAAAATCCAACCAGCCTACTCACTTACTCACTTGGCCTGACGAAGCTTTTGTGTCAAAAGCGAAACGTTGCCCAGCAATAAATCCACCGATTGTTTACCAAACCTCTCTGAAAAAAGACCTGATAAGTTTTCAGTCTTGCCATTTTTTCCGATCAACTGTTGTTAGATTGTACATACAAATTCCAAAACCGACCAAAATTCCCCTCAGTGTTGTTTGCAACCACCGTGAATGGCCTTCTCAATATCGACGGCGGCTTGAATGACTTTTCGTATCTTTAAACATCGGACCGTGTCTATTCGCAATGCACTACTCCTAAGGTTGCTGAAAATTCGCCTGGAAACATCACAAACGAGAGATTTTCAGCTGGGTTCTAGGTGTGTCTGTCGGAAAACCAAATTGGTTTGCAAGTGAGTGTATTTCGCTACTCGGGCTGTGTTGTTTTCTTCTTTTATTTACACAGCGTGCCCAGCAAACTATGTAAAGGCATCCGACTGTTCTCGAGAGACCGGCTGCGTTGGACGATCGTACATACACACTTACCAATTTGACGGGTATAAAGGACACTGTGTTGGGGAAACGAAAGTGCGAACACGACGCTGCTGTAAGTTTAACCGATCATCTGTTCCAGTTTATTTATACGACTGTGGTGTTCGTGCGCTGCAGGTCCGGCAGATGCGGTAAACAACAGATGGTTCCCAGAGTCTAATAGTATAGCCTTCTCTTAATGAATGTAGCCCCATTGCGGATGTCTGACCTGCAGCCAGCTCCAGCTGAACGGAGACAGCAAAGCCTAAGCTATTCGTATCAGTGGCAGCAGCCAATTACCTTGTCTTAACTTTCAAGTGACACATGGATCTCTAATGGCGATGGAAAATCCATTTCGTTGCTTTTCACTAAATCGTGCTGTGTCCGTTTGACGCGCTCATGAGACGTTTAAGGAAAACTGAAAACTGTACCGGGCTTAATGAGTATCTATGTGGACCGAAACTGTTAAAAATGAGCATTGACTCGTTCAGCTCTAACACCCTTTCGGTGCCTAGCTGCCATGCCACCCGGAAGAAGCACGAGACCCGGGATACTGTCAGGTTGTCCAAGCCTAGACAGGGGAAGTCGAGTGGGCAGAGGTCGGGCCCGAACCACGAACCTTCCGGTCAGTAAATCCGCACCACTTGGGCCATCTCGCCCAACGATTGATATGATGTGGTTGATTGGCACAAGATCTATCGAAAATCTGCGCTTGCTGACCAAGAACGGCGTCGTCGGTTTCATCAACTGGTCCACGAAGGGCAAAAGGCATATTATGGATTGATTGAATCGATATCTTCAGACGGCAATCCGACATGGATTTGGGGATATCCGTCCGATTGGATTAGGACTGACCTTTTCCCGGCACACTTGTTTTTGTCCAGTGTATGTGATGTCATTGGTCTTATCCTCTTGGAAAGTATGTCACAACCCATCTGTTGACATCCACTGCGTCCACAGTGGAGTTTAATCGATCAAAGAAAATTCAGTTGTAAACGCAAATAGCCACCAAGTTTGCTACCCAGTGGCTGACAAGGGACATTTCCATTCAGCTAGGAAAAAATATGTGGATGGAAATGGAATGCATGTGAGCGAATTCAGGGGTTTTAGAGAGGTTAATGAACATACTGGTTTTGATGAAAACAGTATAAATGTATTTTCACAAATCGTCCCATCATCTCCCAATCTTACCATATATACTACCACACTGAGAGGCAGGTGTCTGACTTCCTAGGATTCTTAGTTCCACAAAGCGAAAAAATACTACTGGTGTTGAATTCCCTGAGATTTATCCTTTGAATTTTCTTGGGGGGGGGTGTCAATATGAACTGCTCTTTTTTGGGGGTTCGTTATTCCTGCGTTGACCGCTAACATGTCTATCCTTTTACTCTCAGGTTGCATGCAACAAGCTCCACCACCAGTCCGTCAATGTGAACAGAATAGACTGTTCCAGATAATCTCCAATTGGCAACTGACCAAAGATGGGACATAATTTTCTTGGGGGGGGGGTGTCAATATGAACTGCTCTTTTTTGGGGGTTCGTTATTCCTGCGTTGACCGCTAACATGTCTATCCTTTTACTCTCAGGTTGCATGCAACAAGCTCCACCACCAGTCCGTCAATGTGAACAGAATAGACTGTTCCAGATAATCTCCAATTGGCAACTGACCAAAGATGGGACATGTAGCAAATTTGTCATCAAGCGAGACGCGACTCCATTGCTCCTTCAACGTAAGTTTCCAAACAACCGAGTTTCAACTTGCCCTTGTGTCAGACTGTTCTCCGTTATGTGCTGCTATTGAACTATCCTGTGTATCTACTTGCCTTGTGAGAAGCTAGAGTGCTGCATACCGTAAAACGCATGGTTAAGCGCATAAACTGACGAGTAGTTGAACGTAGGGATCACTAGTCTCCTGAACTAACTAATTTAATCTGAGTAGATTTTTCTGACTTGCTTGCGTCTCTGTTTTTAACACGGTAATCGCTTCACTGTAGCGTGGAATACTTCAACTTCTCGTAGCTACGCATTCGTTTTCTCTGAGGAGCCTCTGATTGGAACGGGGTTGCCTATATCAGAACTTCTGTTTCCAACCCATAAATTTGGGTAAATTCATATAAAAAGTAATGTTTGATGGATTATTGTGTTATCAGCGATCTAGTGAAAGTGCTTGCCCCTCGATACCCCGGAACACCATAAAAAATTCCGTCTGTCTTTGTCTTATTAGAACTGGCTTTGTGCTTTGTGAATGTGACTTCTCTGGATGCTTATCTGGTCATAAGAACTATCTTTCTGGAATTCATTTGCAGAATGTTCTCCACCCGTTGATGTGCGTGTGGGACAGTGTAACGCGGAAGGCTACGCCGTAGAGCTAACGGTGCGCCGCTTCTTGGATAATTGTGAGTGTAAGGTAAGCACGCTTGACAGAACGGACCAGTATTCCATAAAATTGCTCGTCTTCTGTACCATGAATTAACCATTGTTCTGCACAACATATCTTCAACGGACTGAGAGTTTCTACTCAAACCTAGCCCTGTCCCAGTCCTTACCGGATCCTAAGAGGACGCGACCATACAGGCTGTCACGTGTTCAATTTCATTTGCACATGATTTTGAGCAGGAAAACTGTAACAGGTTGGACGTTGCCGTGAAGACACTGTCTCAAATACAGACAAACTAGCAAAGGGGTGTTCTTGCAGTTCTTAGAATAATAACAATTAGTGGCATCATTATTCAGTAGATTGGCTATTTTTGAATCTTTTGCATATCTTTTTCTGTCGTAACGGGAACCTCTCTAGAACCGTCTCCAATGCACCAAAGGTTTGAGGTTCCCATTTTGAACAAAACTCTAATAGGCACAAAACCGAGGCGCTCAGTATTCGCACAATGGAAGTGGATTTCTGAAAGTTATGACTGATGGACTAAAGCGATCGGGCAAATGAATTGAGAGTACCAGTCCAAACTTTTAGGCCCCATTTAGGCACGCCGGAGTCTCAGCGATGCTAAGAAATTATCCCACAGGACTTTTCAGCAAGAGGCATCGTTGCTTCAGTGAACAATGAAATCTGGTGAGCTGCAAAAATATAAAGGTAGATTAGGACGGTTTTTGGGTTAGCGCACAGACGCAACAAAATGCAACATTTTAGCATAGAAAGTTTTACTCCACTTGTAAAAGTTTTGCAGCTGAGAGCATTGTGCGGATAATGGACACTCAAAACTGGTGAACTTACTTGGTGGTTGAGTGGTTTTATCTCGTTCATCTATCTCCCGCCATGGAAACAAAATAAAACTAAATGGAAGGGCAGATGCTTTCATTTACACACAAATCCAGTTCTAATCGGAGACTCAGCTGAATTCAGCTTAATCACGCGTTTACGGTTGTTCACTTCAACGGAATCTGTCCAATTCGGTTCCAAGTAGAACTTGAAGTTGACGGAAACTCGGGGACTGCGCCTACCTGAGGCTAAAGCAGTCTGTCCAATTCGGTTCCAAGTAGAACTTGAAGTTGACGGAAACTCGGGGACTGCGCCTACCTGAGGGCTAAAGCAGTCGTGGGCCGTTGAAGAGTTATATGTACATATAAAACAGTACTTCTGTTGAACTTTCCCTTTTCTTTTCTGTTGTTGGCTACCCAATTTCAACTGCACACTAGGAACAATAGTGCTATATTGTTGTCTGGTGTGACTGTTGGTTTGTATGTCTTGTTTGCACACCGTCCGATATACCCTCATCAATGCTTGTCGAACCTTGTTGTGTCCCGCAGGAAAGCAAATCCAGACGGATTGTGCGTTGCCGCTGCAGTCCGGTACATGAAACAAAGCGGTGTTTGACAGATGAGATTCAAATTCGGGAAATTACATCGCAAGAACTCATAAACGGTGAATGTCATCCACGGAAACTGGTGAAGAAAACTAAATTGAGTGAGTTACCGTGTCTGTCGATGCCTAATATGGTGCGATGTTTTGCATGAACCAATGCATATGGGTTACAATTTTGAGTAGGTTTCGCAACCCGGATGTTCGCCTTTTTGAGCTGTCGCTTACTGACAATAAGATGCGCAATTGTATGTGTTCAGAAGGCTTCGCGCAGAAAAACTGATTCGTGCTGCTTTCTGACACCGTGATCTACTTCTGACTTGAATCTGGCATTCAGAGGACAGTTCCGATTTCCAAAAGCCTCAACTTCGACACTGTCAGCTGATGAATTAGCACAATAGCTCGATTACAATGTTAGTCGTTTTCGGAACTCCAGGGGGGGGGCAAGATGGCTCAAGTGGTTAGAGCGCGAATTTACCGACCGGAGGGTCCGTGGTTCGAATCTGACCTCTGCCTCTCCACTTCCCTTGCCTAGGCTTGGGCAACCTGACCGTATCCCAGCTCTCGTGCTTTCTTCGGGTGGCATAACAACTAGGCACCGGAAGGGTGTTACAGCTGAACGATTTTCTTTCGGAACTACAGGTTGATGTAACATTCCCTTTGGTATTATCCCTCCTACCATCCTTAGATGACCATGACTGCTGTTGACAAGGCCACTCATCCAAACCGGACGTGACTCAGTTAAACTCACATTGGTTCTGGTAACCCTGATGTAGCCTTTTAAGATGGTTCGGAATAAACGTTTATGTTAAAAATTTTCACATGTAGTTGGCAACTTAAAACTATGTTTTGAAGCCTCACGTGGTGATAATTTGGGTGAATTACAAATTCTATCAAATCTCTCAGAAAGGAATACTCTTTGGGTAAACCAGTGCTGCGTGGCTACTGTACCGGGATGCTGTGCATACGTGTAAAGTACCACACCAAAAAAATAAATCGTTTAGCTGTAACATCCCTGCGGGACCTAGCTACCATACCACCCGAAGGAAGCACGTGACCTACGATACTATCAGGTTACCCGAGCCCAGACAGGGCTGAGCGAGGATTCGAACCACGGACCATCCGATCACACCTGTTCCACAGAAATGAATGCCTCAGGAATCGTCAGATGCGTTTGAATGTTCAACGACTTCACCATCCACTTTCACATTTTTCAATGCTTCTCATTACGCAGTCACATCTGTATTTGTGGTCACTAGGATTTTAAAGCCACTTTTGGTTTGTGGATTTCGAACACCCGTACCCTCCCACATTCAAGTTTTAGCTGCCACAAACTTTCTCTGCAAACGGTGTCTTTTTTGACTTCCCCGAATTCATTGCCACTGTGAAACGGGCGAAGGCAGTGCACAGAGCGTGATATTCTGTTTGGTTATCTTGGCTAGTACGTTACAGATTGATATGGTATTCAGCAGAGATTGGATGCGCGGTTATGAGAACTCACGGGTACATATGTGATGAAGGGGGAAAAGGGAACATAAATCAGTGGATCATAAACCTAAAGGAACTACGTCACTATCAAACAGATTCGTATAGATCAACTCAAGTTCAAGGGTTTCTTTTGAGTGTATGGTTTCGGGGCACGCATTCGGATTCAAATAGCCTCTGTAACGGACAGTTAGCGGTTTAGGGTCAATCTGTAAGGTGTGCGCTATGTCTCTGATACGATCGATGTCGGCCAAATGCTCTTGCACTTAGGATCGGTTTTTTTCTAGTCATCGGATTGTATTCTCTTATTCTCTCTGGTAAACTACTTGCCGTATATTTGACAGATGACGCCCGTAAACACGGATATTGTGTAGCAGTTGTGTACGTGACACCCACTTGGTATGTTCAAGGAACACATGGCAATCTCCTGGTCTAAACCACCAACTCCTACGTGGATTAATCGTCAGAATTGAAGCAGGCCATTCGAAGAGTACACTAACTAATTTGTTTTAAAAGAAGACTAAATCGAATCCCAACTGGATGTCTCGTTTAGCGTATTTTTCTATTGCATGTGCTGCACAAAGGCTATCTCATGCTACAGTCTAAGCGATATTCGAGGTATCGCAGTACAGTTCGGTAACAACGCCGTGTCCAGATAGAACACACTACTCCTAAACCCCTTCAACAGCCGATGACCGGTTTCGCCAGTTGTCAGAGTCTTCAGCGGCATTTAAGTAGTATGTTTAGTCTGAGATTTGGGGATATGTCAGGTTTGTTTCTTCATCTGATCGCACAACTAAAGGCTTTCTGTGAACTTCTCATGCCAGACAACCTTCAGTTTGAGGTCGTGGATCCTGAAGCACACCAAAGCGTGTTCGGCCCTTCTCCTCAAACCAACTTCTCAAACCTTTATGGTGGGCACTCTAAGGCTGTCCCAACTAACTGCATTTTGCTACTGTATACTTTCAATGTGTAGCCAAGTGCCAACCTGATACAGTGTAAAGCGAAATGCGGTCACCCGTATAAGCTTGAGCGTGACTGTCCTAATTAGGCCTCCGAGTTTCCATTGAAATCAACCGGCGGCCATTGTGTGCATTGTCCTGTCTGTCAGACAGCGAGTCGGTGATTGTGAATGCTGTAGAACACAAGCATCCCTGGGAGGGGACTTTGTAAGGCACAAGATGGGCAACCAAGCTCTGTCGATTCCATTCAGCTGTACAGTCGGCCAAGGCAGCTGGATAGATGGCTTATGTTATGGCCTTGCCTCATGCCCCAGCGAATACGCTTTTGACGTTCGCGAAAAGCAGATGGGTGCATTTTCTGTTGACTACCTTGCTGAGGAATGACCTCAAGTGAAGAGAGCTTGGTTAGGCGGTAGAACGAGAGAAGACGCACTGAACTAGGTTAGGATGATCGATTGACATTTGTGATGAACGCGTTTTGGTGAGCTTCACTGCCCGCGGGTTAAAAGTGCGGTTTCCTGGGAGCGACAACTCCGCAGGCCCCCAGCAAGCAAGCGAGACAACCAGTCGACCTGGTGTGTGTTCAAGTCACCGTAAAAGAATTCAGCCTACTTTCATGGGAATAGTAGCAGTGTGTTTAAAGTTAAAAAAATTCAAATTCAAGGAAAGCCCACCTCGCCGTTTCCGTATTACAGCTGGGCTCAGAGACACAAAGTACCGTGATGGCCGTGGGGCTTGTTTTTGATGCCCATCTACCATATCCTTTACTTCAGTCTACTCGATACCCGATTGTACAAAGCGGGCTCTAAAGAGCCTGTTCTCTAACACCAGTCTGAAACACTGAAGTTAAATAAGTGTTCCATTTGCGGCTTGGTCCCTCACTTTTGTCAAATACTATGTTGCACCGAAGGAATTCTCGTTACCGGCTCCTGGGATGACGAAAGTAATGGACAAAATATGGATGAATGACCTGCACTCAGACGAAGTAGTGACTGTTTATTTTCCTCTGTTCCGGTCCGTGAGATCTCTCGGAGATTTATTAATAAACGAATAAGCAGTTGTTCGTGAATACTGAGTACCGTCCTTTCATTGGTCTACTGTAGAGTGGTTTCACTGTACTGCCAATTAGTGGTATCTTCTGCTGCTAGGATCGAGAACCGTAGATCTTATGACATTCAAAGAATGTAGACAAGAGCTTGCACACTGGTTTATTTATCACTGTGAGATTAACCTCTGTTTGAAATTAGGAATAACCACTGGTGAAGTTTTGTGGATATTGAGTTAGTAATTCGAAAAATTTCGAACTTCGAACAAGCAGACGTCGCTCCACTTCGCGAGAACTATGGAGACTGGACCTCTTTTCTTTCTGGGGAACGACTTTCCTTTAGCTCCATTTTGGAAGGGACTACGAAACTTCCACCTACTGATCACCTGCTCGTCTTTCTTTCTGCCATTTCAGAGTGTCCTCCACCGTTGGTATACAAGTCCGATTGTGACTCGATGACCTGCCAGCGTCGCGTCACCATCGTGGAACACGTACCCGAACAGTGTATTTGCAAGCGCTTCGCAAGGGTAGCACATGAAACATGCTGTAAGTTTGGGTCCCATTGTAACCACCATGATTTTTTTATTTTGACCACACTTTCCACTCTTTGGATTTTGTCCTAATGTGGGGAGTAAGTGAAAATAGGAGCCACATTGCCTGCACCCTCAGGCACGTGCAATAAGGACGACGTAGAGGTATTCCAATAGAGGTGTTCCAGTTCAATCGAATGAGGATGAATCGAAAAACCGATGCTCCAAAGAGAGTCTCGATGTGAATGCTATGCACCTGTGGGTCTTACACGTATTGAATGGATCATATTTTTTCCTGGTGGCCTTGACGAGTATGAGTGTTGAGGTTCCCGATACGTGTAGGCTTGACGACCCCGAACATCAAAAGGAAGAGTTGAGTTCGAAGGCCTGCAGTACTCTTTACACACCAGTGAACAAACTTGTAGAACAAACCTCACTTGTCCACGTTCATGACGTCAACAAATGCGCAAGTCTGTCACCGATCGGCACAGTGCAGTGTGAAGGTCCTCAGACTAAACAACGGCGAGCGGATTGTTGGCTCGGTAGTGTAGGTAGGTTTCGGTCGTCCCTTTGGAGGGCAGTCTCGTGATTCTGTTTGGCGGTGCGATGACTCGGAAGCCACGACGGAACAAGTCAGGACAGGTTTAGCGGATGGGACACGAACAGGTGTGCACATTCACACACGCACACACACAGAGATACATGCTAGTATGCCAGTGTCAACGCGACGTTCTTTGTGGCAAGCTGGGGATGGTGGTCACGTACGAGCAGGACAAGTGGAGATCAAAGTACACCGGCGGAGTAATCAAATGATTGGGACAATTATCACGTCAACGTGCGCGGATCTATTTCACCCGCATTCGGTTCGCTTCCATCCGGTCAACATCCTCAGTTTGAGATGCTCATTATAAATGAGATTAGGTCATTCGTTCCCGTACTCAACATTGAGTTGGTCGACTGCTTTCAGTCATGCTACCCACTTTGAATCGCTGTTCTTTACCACTCTGATAAATCACACTGGCAGGCATCCAAGATTCTGAACCAATGCGACTTCACTTGAAGTCGTATTGACTCAGCACTGATCTATCGAACGATGTTGTCGTAACTACGGTTGCTTCCGTTCAACTACTAACATGACCTTTTCTTTCCAAACATTCTACAGGCTGCAAAGGTCAGAAAACGATTCGCTACGAAGGATGCAGGTATAATGCACTGAAAACTTTTGTCGAAGAAAGCATTGAGCCCAAGCTGACTGACGGCGCTTGTGTTAAACGGACTCGCCACCGTTTTGAGCCTGTTGGTGAGTCACGTGCAATCATCTCCCAACACGTACATCCGGATGTCCATTTTAATAAAAATGCGGATCTTTGGGTTGTTGACAGATGTTGGTCCGGGGAGAGATCAGTCGATTTCAGTCATATCAGATAATATTTTGCATTCCGTACGCACGCATTTAGACGGTTTTGGCGAACGATCGACAGCAAGAAGGGTTTCTCATTCTCGGAATCAACTAAAACAAGAATCGATTCAAGGCCGTAATACAGGTTTCACAAGCCTCGATTTGAGTTAGAATGGCAAGGACGAAGAGGCAGAGGATGGAAATGGAAAAAACTTTTTCATACGAACTGAAAATAGGCGACTGAATTTTAGTTTAGAGAACATGATGCAGGAATTCAGTGACCGAAGATGTGATGAAATGGACAAACTGACTGGGTGTTTGCAGGACCAGGCTGATAATTAGCTGTCTTTCTTCGCGCAGCACCCGTCTGAGAACCTGATGGCCACAGTGAACAAGGTGCTCAAGAGTAGGACGATATGATTGGGAGGGGAACACGCAAACTCAATGTGTCCGGGTAGCCTGATGCCACTAAGGAGTAAATTCTGAGTCTGGATTTGTCCGGCTTGTTTAGTGGTGCTTGAGTTGCTTGGAAGCCACCTGTACGTTTGCTCGCATCCGAAACTTGCGTCATTAAGACTTGCCATTTAGCTCTTGAAATGCCATGGAGTACACAGCATTTCTTTGGTTGGCAGAACCGCTACTCTGTCTATCTTGAGGGTCCACTTGGGGGACCAGTGGAGAATAATTAATACTTGGTAATTGCGGGATTTTCTGGATTCGTACGTGCAGTAACCTCGCTTTCTTGGCAGGGCACCAGCATTCGGATTAGTTCGGAATGATAAATCTGGGGCGGAATAAGTGTGATTCAAAACAGGACCAACTGGCTACAACTGAAACACTGGCGGTAGCTTAGGGAATCCATTCGAACAGCCCATGAACGCAGCGAAATACACTGATTTACATACCGATTTGGTGTACGCGGCAGACCCAACTCTCTCGTTCACCAACTGGCTACAACTGAAACACTGACGGTAGCTTAGGGAATCCATTCGAACAGCCCATGAACGCAGCGAAATACACTGATTTACATACCGATTTGGTGTACGCGGCAGACCCAACTAAATCTCTCGTTCATGATGTTTCTAAGCCACTGAATGAGCTGCACCAATCCGCCCTATGCTTCAGTTGTACAATACTCTAGTATCACAGTACGTTGTACATGCGTAACACACTATTCATAAGATTTCTGGAAACCTTACAACAGCCCACGACCGGTTTCACCTTTCTTGGGCTCACCAGGTAAACGTACTCCCCGGGTTTCCGTTAACCTTATGTGCCAATTGAACCCAAAATGCACCAAATTAGCTAAATAAACTCATTCGCACGTCAGTTTGGTTTCCAGAGGAGAACAAACTGAAGATCTCGCTTTCAGCAACCTTATGAGCAGTGTCGTCTATACATTTCTTGGGCTCACCAGGTAAACGTACTCCCCGGGTTTCCGTTAACCTTATGTGCCAATTGAACCCAAAATGCACCAAATTAGCTAAATAAACTCATTCGCACGTCAGTTTGGTTTCCAGAGGAGAACAAACTGAAGATCTCGCTTTCAGCAACCTTATGAGCAGTGTGTTACGTCTATACAGCTTATGAATGAATTTGGCTGACGATTGTCGGCATATTGTAGACAAGCACCACCTCTCTCTCCCACTTTCTTTTTGTTCTTTTTATTAGTAGAAGACCTTATTTAAACAAGCTGGGATGCTTTGCAGCAGCTAAGCTTCAGTGTTCTCATGTTGTCGTGGGTGTCAGTGATGAGGGAGATGATAATACGTAGTACAGTGATGGTGAACCACTCGCTGTATGCGGCAAGTAAGGTACCCAGCCTGAGGACACTACGCAATGGCTGATGCGGCACAACAGAACGATTAAGTCCTCACTTGAAACTTAGGGCCCAAAGGCCTGATTGCAAGATAGCGGTGTTTGGTGGTGGTTTGCTTGGAGGAGTTCCATCTCCCGATCACCAACCTGAAGGGTCAAGAGACTTTATTAGTCAGGACTCCAACCACTGACAGACCCGTACAAGCAATTCTGACATGGACAACCAATGCAGTATAGCTCAGTGCGTCAATGAGGTGCACACAGTCCCACTACAATAAAGTCCTGTCTCTTAGTGGTACACTTGACAAGAACAAATTCACATTGAGCTGATGAACTAGTGCGCAAATTCTGTGAAATTCATCCTCTTTTGGTTGTTTTTGATGGTGGACACTTGTAAAGTATTTTTTGTTTGTCTGATAGTCAATTTTGATTCAACATCAGAGGTTGCCACTCGAGTCACAAATATCGTTTCCATCATAATCTTAAGTCATAAACGAGCGATTCAGCTAATTTTGTGCAATTTGAATTCAAGTAGAACACAAGGTTGACGGAAACTTGGGGACTGCGCCTACCTGATGAGCCCTAAAAAGGGCTAAACCGGTCGTGGGCTGTTAACGGATTTTCAGCAACCCTATGAGTAGCGTATTATGTCTGAACTATGTTTCCAATCCTGTTGAGGTAATTTTGTGAAAAAACGCAGCTGAAATTTTTTTCTACAAACTTGGTTTCGGGAAGTGTTTGAATGGAATACGGTGACGTTGAAGCCACTTGGTAAGCAACCTCGCATGAGAGTATATCTTCGAAAGGCACACTGCGGAACGTTGTGCTAAGGGGTTTTTGTTCGCTGATTATTGATTATTGATAGCCCAATCAGGTGTCACCATAACTTCTATGACACCCCTTACTGATTACAGGCGATTTTAAAGAAATAACCTAAGGAGCACTTTATTGTAACGATTTTAAGTCGCTGCCATTCGTGTTGTTTCCCAAGTTGGGAAGCGTGATTAAATATCCACATATGACGACAAGTACGAGCTTATTGGTGGCTAAAACGTATGTAACTAAATCGGCATGTGTATCGATTTCTTGAATGGAATTAGACGTTTTGTCGTTAAGTCTAATAGGCCTAGATATACAGACATTTATTGGCTTTTCCGGGATTTTTTCCTGTGAATCGGTTCAATGACACTACATTTTTAGTGACCCCATATGGAGTTGAGTAATAAGAAGTCATTCAAGTAACTACTCTGCTCCCTCATAGGCAACCAGATGTTTTTGTGTGTAAAGACTCCCCTTGTACGGACGTTATACGCTGCTCATAAGGTTTCTGAAAATTTTTCGACAGCCCACGACCGGTTTTGCCCTTCTTGGGGCTCATCAGGCAGGCGCAGTCCCCGAGTTTTCCGTCAACCTTTCGTTTTACTTGAACCCAAATTGTATTTTATGTAAACCGGTCAGGGTGTAAAGTTCTCCTTCATTCACGAGGGGTCTATTCAACAGGTTGCTCAAGATAACTGATATTGAATTACTGTGGACCAACCATATCAACTGAACACAATAGCATCCTCAGGTTAAGACCATAACTTCACTTCAAAGTTTATCGTTTCGTATGTCCTTCCCACCACTAAGTGCGTCGTTCCTTTGATACGTTTCCCAAATTACTTGAGAAAAACCAGTACGGGCACCAAAATAGTTCACAAAGTGAGGTGAAACAGCAAAGGATTTGTTTTTCACGTAGGTGGTCCGCAATCACAATGACGCCTGTAGTGACCTTTGCCATGGAGACATCCCCACAAAACCCACTTGGTTTCACCCTGCCTGGAACTGCTTCGAATTCTAACGCTTGGGAACCTGTCGTAGCCATCGTTTTCGAAAAAGTTTGTTGACAATCGGTCGTAGCCACATTTCATCAAATATTTTATTTTCATCGGCCTAAGAGGATAAGTACAAGTTAGGTGGACCATACATAAGGTCAGGTATCAATGTGCTTCTTCATTTTTCCAGATCACATGTCCTTCTAACAGTTTGTCGGTTTTGTACGTTGAACATTCACCTGCAGTTGCAGTCTCTCGAGTCCATCTCAGTAAGGGCAAATCTTTCGGGAAATCCATCCTATGAGGTTTGCAAGTCTGGTCTTATGTAAATAAATTTCGAACTATTACCGCACCAAAAGTCGCACTGCAGTTCAACCTGGACCCTCAAAATTTCTATTCAAACGGGAAATTCGAGGGGGTGCGGGGCACAATACAAACTGTCTTACTTTCGCTCGCTGTTGGCCAGTTGCTGGCTTTGCAAGCAAGTTCGTTGACTTTAACGGCGAGTCCAAATTTATGAGCATTCTAGTAAGGAGGAAGATCGATGTGGGCAAATTACAAATCTTCTTGTCTATGAAACCAGATTTGTCTGCATTGAATAGCAGGTCTGTAGCTCGATTAATTAGCCAATTGTACGATTCGGTGCCTACGCATGCTTAGGTGGAACAGCACTGATGTAACCGTAGAAAACCTCAGAGTTCCGCAATGAGTGGTATTTGGTGATGAACCAATGGTGATAATTCAGTTCGCGTTTGGAAAGTTTTCCGGATTCTGATGGATCTGAGGTACTGGCGAGCTAGTGGTGGGAGAAATATAACCGAACCAACTCATATTGCTGATTGTTAAAGTGGATAAGAACACGAAACCACTCAGAGCTTGATTTTGTCACCGAGGCTATGCATGGTTGTTTTTGACAGTATAGTTGATTAGAGGTAGAATTTCAACACAAATACCTTTCTGTCAATTCCCTCGGATGGATTTTCGTGCTTATTCTCGGCGATCGCTTCAACACCTGTTATGGTCAGTATAACCTTAATTGTGAGACGCCATGTGGTGAGCCCTCAAAGCTCTCTAAGAATAGAATTTTTGTAGGTTTCAAATCATTCCGCTGTTCATCATTCTGTTTCATCACTGTTCTTGAGTTTGGGTTTTGCACATGTTTCTAGCTCGTTGTTAGCATACGGGATATCGAAATTCGGTGTCCAAGAGCCTTAAAATTGCTTTTGAGCAGTGGCTGTTTCGCTTTTCCAAATGAGACAAGACATTCTGTTCATGACCCTTGATTTTACTTAAAAATGACTTTGTAGGTACTCGTAAGCGTTTTGCCCGTTAGGAGCATGCGAACTCAGTCTGTTAAATGAGACGCCAACTCTTTTGTTTGTAGCCTGCGCCCGAAATCCTACAACTGTTCGTCACCAGTGCCGTCATGTTTCTACCATGGAAAGCGGTTTGCGACAGAAAATCACAGCAGATCCCGCACTTATCTTCCGTCAAGTCGAACAATTTTGGTGGCAAATGGATTCATGCGAATGCCGACAAATGCGTCGCGCCCATTTTGAAGCATGTGGGTGTGACCAATCAGCTGTGCCGGCGGAATCTCAGTTCGTTCATCGATGCAATCAGCAGAATGGTGTCCTGATCACGTACAAACAAACTTTGAAGCTTGAGGTTGATGGGACTAGACAGTCATCGGATCAGACGTTGATGATTCCTGATTTGTCCCACGCTAAGTGTCGACCTGAGCACACGATTGTGTCCGCTCGAAAAATTGGTAAGTAGTTCAGTTTGTCAGCAGTATAAATTGCGTCCATAAATTTTTGTAACCTAATCAACTGAATATCACCTTGATACAAGGCGGAACTCTAAGTGGACCCATTGATAAATTACAGTTATGAGCATTGATGAACTTGGCCGTAATTTTTGCGGGCGTATTACTTTGGCCCTTAAATGCCTCTTTAGATTTCTTTTATCCCACCTTGCAAGACCCATACCATTTGTCGAAGTAAATTATATACAGTCGGAAATTTGAAGTACCAAAGTTGTAGTTTCACTAAGCCCTACGTCATTGTTCCTTCTGCGAGGTTGTGTCACCGTTGAGCTATGGACGGGAATACCCAACGTCAGTTATCAGTGTAAAGTTCATCCGAATTTTTCATTGAAGATATGCCAGCTATGCCCGCAACTAATGCAAAAGGTGCATGTGCGAAAAGTTAAGCCCCGCCACTTTTTGCCGGCTCCAGTTTAATGTTCACTCACAACCCTGACCTGTTTTTGATTAAAACAATTCCTTATCCGCATCTAGGCTCATTTTGTGCAAAAATGTTCTCCGTTCGGACGTAAAACCTTAATGAACTTTCTGGCGCTTCCAACTCTCGCTCATGTCAAGGAGGTGACAATGCGCTTTTTTAAGGCCGCGGAATGATCCATCAGCAGTGTTTATGCAACGATGGCCACCAAATGATACTTTCAACTGTTTCTGACAGGTGGGGGTGTAATGCTCGACAATGTCGGTAAGAAATCGGTCTTCGAGAGGGAACTTGGCTGAAGCGGTCTAGGATAAAGCTTAGGACAGAAATTCTATTCATTTTTAATGGTCCAGAAGTTTGGCAAAAATCATTCTGCTCAGACGAATTAACTATTAGCCACACGACCGCTCTTAACTGGAAAAACTTTCTCCGCGAAGTTTGCGCCTGGCGGCTTTTGCAGATTCTAACAGTTATCGGTCGCCCAGGTCTACACGTCAAGATCGATGAAACGCTAATATCTCGCCGTAAAAACCATGCAGGGCGAGGCATAGTTACCGAAAAACGGACCTTTTGATGCAAATTATTAATGACATGTCCCTATTTCACCCTCTTCAATAAAAACTAACAGTACAAATATCATATCCTCTTCTTTTAATGTTTTTGGGTGGCGGGGGTTAATTTTTTGGCTAGGCCTATCTGAAAAAGACCCATGATACGGTAAAGTGAGTTTAGAAACCCAAGAGTTTTCAGCAACCTAGTAACTAGTGCGTTACCGCGAAATCCGTTAATTACAACAATAATACCATATCCTGACTGTGATCCACGGCTACCTTAAACGTAATACCTGTTCTGTAGGTGGCTAGGGGAAATGCTTACTCGTTTGTTCCAACTTGTTTAAATATTTTTCAACTTGATCGGATGACATCCACATCTGGTACTTTGTAAATCTCCCTCAGGAAGGTTACTAATGGTTTTAACAATATCCGTTAGCTAACCAATAAGGCGGAAGAATGGTTAACCAAGTGATGTTTAAGCAGAAGCCCAGCTAGTGGGTCGCTGATGACGATTTGCATGCCCGTTTCTGTTGCTCGTATCAGTCATTGAGTTAAGTCACGTGCTTCAAAGTCCTTGTCCATGTCAAATGACCTATTTCTCTAGAATGCGCTACAATCATTAAACATCACTTTGTTGATTTTCTCTTAACAGTCTGTCCTGAAGCCAAAGTATTCCACACTGCATGTGAGACGGCGGCCGATGGACGTGAATACAGGGCTGTACACCTGCATCGCTGGAACCGCCAAGGATGCGCATGTCAGAATCTACCACCAGAACTAGTCGAGAGACAGCTGTGCTCGTGCAGGCCAGAACGCGTCTCTAAACAATGTGTTACCAGCCGTCCTGGTGGACCGGAGAACCGACTGCTAGTAAAGCATATTAGGGAAGAGATAGTTGTCACGCAAGACCCATCGGGAAAACGTATCCGCCTTTGTAAACTGGCTCCAATCGAAGAGAAGGTGCATCTTATTTGTAAGTTTTACGGGTCCATCCAGTCATGTCTCAGAGCTTCATTTTAGGATTCATCCAAGTGTAACGCTACTGTTTTAGGGAGACATTACTCGATGTAGACTGAAAGTATTGGGACTTCCACTGACTTCCATTTAAACGAGGCTTAACTAAAGACTGTTTGACGTTAAACTAATAATAGGGTAGTGTTATAGGAATCGAGGACACCATCTACAAACCGCTCGCGAACGTTTCTCTGGTAAAGCCACTCTTCACACGCTATTAATAAGAGAACCAGCTCCAAACGTAACTGGACTACACAGCTGCTAATGGAATAAACTTTTTCGTTGCCCCTGATAAATATGTTCCATTTTTAGCCTCACTTTTTGGCCCGCCTGGAACTTTCCACGTGAGCTTTATAGACAGACTGATTTCGGCTGCACATGACACGCCTGTGCGCATCAGTGATCAACAGATCAGCTGATTCGCACGTTGATTGGCTTTCCGGTTTGACTAAACGGATCAATCAGGCTATCAAGCGGCTATCCAGACTCGGGTTCATGGCATTAAGAAGACATTGGGAAATTGGTCGTCCACAACAGTTGTGCAAAAAACCAGTCCAGCATCTTTCCAGAAGAGCTTGGTAAACAATCGGCATCCGTTTCTCGACGCAGATCTGGCTATCCCAGTAGGGGAACTTTTGTCTTATCGCCTACGATTTTAATTGCCACATACAGTAGCCTCTGCTTCGTTTAACGCAAGAAGACCGAATTATTTACCATTCTATTCGCATCATAATAGTTTTTTCTTATTCGCGAGATAAGTATTTCCTGAAACCAAAGGGATAAACTAACATTTGGAAGCATGTTCATTCTTAGAAGCTATCGAATTTACTTTCTGCACGGCGAACTGGCCCAAACTACCGTGCTATGAATAGAAAAATCCTTTTTCAGACTTCTAAATAAGCATTGTTGTTTAGGCACGAACAGAGAACTTAAGCAAGCTTGATGATCCAGATTTCAAAAATGATGCAAATCGATCCGCGGAGAGTAACGCAACACAGGCGTGTTTTTTCCTACTACTTGCTTGACTCGAAAGTAGCATACTGAGATACGTTTCGGCTTTGATTATGTATAAAATGTGTAGCAAAGTACACTCACTTGCAAACAAAGTTGGATTTGCGGAAGACTCACCTGGAACCTAGCTGAATCTCTCGTTTATGAAGTAACATTATGATGGAAACATAGTTTCATTACTCAGATGGGTTCCAGGTGAGTCTCTCGCGGAGCCAAGTTTGTTTGCAAGTGAGTATGTTTCGCTTACTTCATGCAATTCGATTTCAAGTAGGACATAAGGTTGACAGGTTGACAGGACAAGTTGACAGTACCTACCTGATAAGCTCCGAGGAGGGAGAAACCGGTCGTGGGCTGTCGAAGAACTCTTCAACAACCTTACGAGTAGTGTAATACGCATTTACGATATCTAGTTATAACGAAAGTGTCCACGCCACTAGTAGATTCGAAGAAACCGTAGAAATCTCTTAGCAAGATCAGAAGACGTGTATTAAGAATTGGTGGCTTCATTTACACTCAAATCCATCATTTTCACCGTCCGGTTAGTGCGAAGTAACACCCACATCTTCGGTGTAGTTAGTAACACTCAACCGATGCTTCGCTATAACTTGCTCCGTTTACTTGAGCACGACTAGCAGCCAACATTTCAGTTTCACTGACATTGGTCGAACAGGCCGATATCTCACCTGCGAAAAGAGATATTGACGTGGTTAGGTTAAAGAAGCAGACAGGAAAGGTCAAGTTGGACTGAGTGCATCCGAATTTCGATGGGACTGATGGCTCCTCGACTGGTCCGTTCGTCTTCAATTGCGGAAAGCGACCATTGACCGAACTAATTGTTCTGCCATACCACGTACCAACTGAAGATGAAGTGTGGAACACAAATCCGAACTGTGACACAAAATTACAGGCTGACATCCAATGGTGATAAAATTCCACTCTGATTGCAACGAAAGTGAAAGACTAGTATAAGTTCACAGACATCGTGGCTTTGTGACGACACGGGTCTGCTAGAGAACGGTCTCTCAAAGTGTACTCAATAGGCTGGAGTGAAATCGGTTTAAAACGAAGCCGGTTTATGAGTGAAAAGGCATGCTCCTCCTGTATTATTTTAATGTCATCAAGTACAACACAGTACTTCCTCAAGAAAGTGAGACTTTTTGTAATGAATCTCATTCAAATGTTACAGAGTTTTGTGTACGGCATTCACAAGTATCACGTTATTCATCCCTCCAATATCAGGATCAGCGCCCACAGATCTCATTGCTTTGGGTCTATATAGACGAGAAGGACTTGCATGCAACTCCATATTCGGTTCTGCGTGAACCGTTTATGGAGTAAAGCAGTGGTTCACTGTTGGCCAACCGATCCGACACAAATACCAGCCCATTATGA